TACAGGACAAATGCAGCAATGGGATTGTTATTTTACATTTACAAGGTGCTTCAAAGCATTTTTTTTAACGCTTCTGAGAATTTGCAACAATACCACAAGAACTGTGCCTCCGGGTTCTAGAGACCACCTGGAGAAGATTCCAGGCGTGCATTTGACAACGATGGCGGACAAGTGTAGTATTAACGTACACTTGTTATCATGTCACAGTGTATTACCCGTTCTTTTTTTTGTTCATTAAAAACGATAGTCCCATACAAAAAATAAGTGTTAACATTTTTTTTAAGCACCCTGTATCGAATGTACATTTGCTGCACCCTGCGTAGCCAAGCGTGCTCGTCGAGCAGCCATCTTGCCTCTGGTCACGTGCACACGATGAGTTCCGCCTCTGTTAAACGAATCGCGAAAAGAGATTAATGAATGCAGGTTAAAGTAGAGTAATATTAATCACGAGACATTTGTTGGAAGGATTACGCGAAGTGCATCGTAAAGGGCAAGCATCGTAAAGGGCAAGCATTGCACACTACTGCTCACTTTTGCCATTCCTAGTCCAGGGGTGGCAATTCGACATAGTTTTTTGTAAAGGTCAATTTGCCCATAAGACAACCACTGTTGTCCTCTTAGCCAGTTGATTGTATACCAGGTATCACTCAATTTTACCATCCACAGAGCAATGCAGGGGCTTATTTAACCTTGGTGACCATGGAAGGGTTTTCAAGTCCACTGAGTTACAAGTTGTACCAAATCAGTTGCTGTGATAAGTAAAATATAAAAAAAAGATGTATGAACTCCACACGCATTCGCTTGTTATAGGAAAACACTCATGCTGCCACGAACGTGCTGTGCCCATGTTGTGCAGCTTGAAAACCACAACAATTGATTGGCACGCAGCAATAAGTCCTCTGGTGTCTCAGTCGGGGGCTGTTCATAGCCAGCAGGTATCCAGAATGTAGGTGGTGGAATTAATATCTGATCCTTACAACCCCATCACTTGCACCCAAATATACGTTGTAGACCGAAAAAAGAGGTTTAGACAGACACTACATTGCTTTTGTAGGTGCAAACCAAAATAGAATGAATAAAAACAAAATAAAAATGTTTGGACTGGAGGAATCCAATGAGCTCCTGTGCTCTTTATTCACAGACCTCATTTAGGACCATTTGTTAAGCCATGCCCACAACAGAAATTTGTTAAAGCCAAGATCAAAATGATTAATGTCATGATAATGTGAAACCCTTTGTCAATACATCGTCGGTCACGGGGTTTGTTTGACCATACTTCACCACGCTTGTCAGTGTGGGTTAGTGAAAGAGATTCCAAGGATCTGTTCAGATAACACTAAGCACATATTTTGGGTTCATAGCGTAGTGCGCCAGCTACTGCACCGATGCTTCACCCCATGCCTATTCATGTTTCAAAATCCTTCCTTTGTAAATAAGAAACAGGAATTATGATTAAATAAATAAATATATAGGGGAAAAATACTTCCTTTGTAAAAATGTGAATTTTAAACCGCATTGAATGGAATAGCACTGAGCTGGAGGCATTTTCAACTCTGTCCAAAACATAACCCAATGGACGATGAGATCTCTAGAAAAAAAACACGTCTAATAATGCAGTAATACTTATGCTGCTGCTGTTTTGGGACTTCTCCATTGCCTGCGGTTCCAAAATAAACGTGACATTTCTTACACATGCATTGCAAAATAATAACAAAAATCCCTTGTATATAAAACCAAAATTATGGACTTATGGCCTTGAAGAAGTCAAGAATGTGCCTCTACGACAGCTTTTACATGATTTCAATAACATTCTCTTTAATTCGATAAGATCTCAAATAATTTAAATATGTAACGTGTGCAATAGAATTACATATAAAAAAACATTCCTTCCCAGGGACTCTTATCCCTTTTGTAAGCTGTGGATACATTGAAATGTATTTTTCATCCACATACCATGTGGTTTCCACTCTTATTCTGCGTTGATTTTCATTCTCAGCAGTGAGCTCTTGCTATGTTCATGCACAAATCAACGTGCACTTTGCTGCTGCGGTAATAGCACGGGTTGAGTGGTTCAATGGATGAAATGAAAAAAACACATTTGTTTCCTTTGCTAGGCTGGCTGAGTGTCAACGTAAAGGTTCCCTTAAGTGTCACGTTTCTATATTCTGCTCGGCAACATTAACACAAATTCACTTTTACGTATCATTCGATAAATAAAGCATTGCCCTGAACGTGGAATTGAAAGAGTTGGTCAAATGATTCTTAAGGTCCTCCTGATAGATTTTCTCTGTTATTTTTCAATAAAGTAAATACCAACCACTAAGGCCTGTGTTTTGTTAGTTTCTGTTTAAGCCCAGATTGAGCTTCATCTATACTTGTAGTTCAAGCTGTAATTTGTTCTCAACACTTTCGACTACATTTTTTATTTAAAGCTTTCGTGACTGCAGTAATTCATATTCTTAGTTTTTTCGGTAAAGTCACGTTGAAGGGAAACAACAAAATAATAAAATATATATAAAACAATAAAAAAATTAAAAAAATATATAATTTATTAAAAATAAATTTATGCAAACCAACACACCTGAAGACGACCGTTTGAGTTATGGTCGAAACGTCGTGAGAATTTTTTATTGTTTTATATATATTTTATTATTTTGTTGTTTCCCTTCAACGTGACTTTACCGAAAAAACTAAGAATACTTTCGACTACGTTGTGTGTGTGTGCGTGTCTCTGTACGTCTGTGTAGGGAGCAGTGGCGCAGTGATTATCTCACAACGTTGCAAACATCGTGAGCATCTTTAGAGTCTTTTCCCTACAGACCAGTGCCACATCAGCATCTGAACCTGCCATAGGTTTCCACCAGGGACGTGCGGTCAGGGGAGGCAGGGGAGGCTAGAGCCTCACCTGTCATATCCCAATGAAAATAGCTGTTACGAAAAGTAAAAAAAAAAAAATTTGCACTGATCTGTGTTATAAATGTAATTTCTGTATGATTCCAATCATTACAGAGAGATAGTAACAGGCACGCACTTATTGCCCGTGCTCCATCCAGTGTCTGAGCGGTTGCGCATCCAGAGGGTGAGGCTGAGCTCGTCGCTGCCTCACCTCTCGTCTCTTCCTGTATTTGCAGCGGAGCTCCGCAAATTTGGCGACTTTGACTATCAAAATTATTGTAATCGTACAGAAATGACATAACGCAGATCAGTGGAAAAAAAATCTTAATTTTTATTTTATTCTGTTTTACCTTTCGTCACAGCTATTTCCATTGGAGTATGACGGGTGAGGCTGTGCCTCCTCTGCCTCCCCTGACCACACGTCCCTGGTTTCCACTATATATGGGGCAACATGGTGGCGAGATGTTAACTGCCTCGCTTGGTATGCAGGAAGTTGTGGGTTCGATCCCGACACTGACGCCTGTTTATTTACTGTAGAAGTTTGCATCGTTGCGTGGATTTTTATCCGGGTCCCCCGGTTTTTCCCTCCACATTTAGAAACATGCGTTTAGAGCATTGGGCTGCAATACATTTCCACATGATAAGCCACTTCGTTGTGCAATCATTTGTGGCCAGGTCACTTCTGAAAAAGAGCTAATATTTCAGTGGGCCTTAAGTGGTAAAATTAAAAAGTTAGTTCAGTTAGTATATTAACTCATCCTTGAATGGGTACGTACTTGGTATGGTGTTGATTATCGACACTGCGGGTGGTGGTAGTGGTGGTAGTGACACCACCTCTTTGTGCTCGTTTTACTACAGTGGTGCCTGATGGCAGAGCTGGGTGGCTCTTGCAGAGTCCATGAATGGAACTGCAATTCCAGGCTAAGAATCAGAACTGTTCCGCTCTAGCCTCCAGCATATAAGGCTTCGTAGAAATCTTTGCCTGGTTTTGCGTTATAACAAATGAGGAGTTTCGATCAATCGTCACGATTAGGGAGTCAATATTTGTTTGTCTCTTTTTGTTTAGTTTGTCTAGCTTTGTTCCCTCAATTTGCATCAATGTCACATATTCATACCACTTGGTCGCATCTATGTTATACGACACTGTGAGTCAGTCCGTCGGTCACAGCAACTCGAGCAATATTTGTTAGACAGAGCTGAGTCAGCCCTCAAAATAGCCAGAATGAACCAGTGACCGATGGTATGATGATCAGCTCTGACCTTTGAATTACGTGAAAAAGGTGGCCAAATGTTTTGACCGTGCTAATCTTGTGAAGTAAAATAAATGTCTAAAACGCTCTTCCCAATACTCTATTTCTTTTTTCATTTGAGAATGTTGAATGATTTAGTGAAATTGTAGACAATTCAATTAATGTGATCCATACCTTCCATTTTATCCTTGAGGGTTAAGAGCACTGATGTGCAATATAATTGTTCTTCATTGAGTAAAGTAGATGAAGTGAAAAACGACTAGGGTAGTGGAGGAATGCAACACAAACTCTTTTAGGTCACCATTGCAATACAGTTTCATAAAGGAATGTCGTTTAGATGTCATTCTGCCATCTGTGGGATGGGATTGTATAAGGTAAAGGCGCAGCCCTGCAATTTCTTTGACATGTCACTGCTTGCAGTGGGGGGCTCCTGTAGAGGTACATGTAGAGAGCCCATCTAGACAATGGTTTAGTTCCAATTAATTAACTGCACACATGATCAGCAATCAATTCTCCCGTGCAGATTTCAATCGTGACCATCGTGAGCATCAGAATCGCTCTTCTTTTGATGAATCGTTCCATCGCGTGCCCTAGCACCTACCGTGCGCTACATGCCAGCGGATGACCTTCGTTGGCGTTCTTGCAACATGAAACACGAGTGAAAAATTAATTTCCTCGGAGTATTACGGCAAAATCTTGTATGTTCATCTGTTCAACCACCCTGCCACCCGGCATGAATGCAAGATTATCGTGGCTCCTTTAAGTATACATACAAAACCCATTTGATGGACTGTGAACAGAGGCTGCATGCAACTTGTTTGTAATAATCCTGTACATGTGTTTCTCTTCCCCAAGGGGACCTGACTTTGACTATGACTACTACAGGGAGGATTTCTATGACAGGTGAGTCTTCTTCTGTTTTTCCCTGTGCATTGTCGTTGAGTTTAACAGTACCGTACGTCGATGGTTTAATAGAACTTGGCAGGAGAAATACATTGCATTTTTAGACGTATAAAAACATCAAGAACACGATGTTAAACATTCAACATTGTGCACAATTAAATTGCAGCTTATTAACTAAATTAATGTCATACACTGACATTTACGTAACAAAAATATCGTTTAATTCTGTTAAAGCGATCTTTGGAGTAGCACAATGAAAAGTAAATTGACAATGTTCATTTTAATGTCATTACGGGGCAGGCTCGAAACTGTCTATAATCTACATGCAATCAAGTACTTTATGTCATCTATTGATGGCCATTTAGAAAATTGCATTAAAATAAGAAAGGTACTCTGTCTATTCATCAGCGATGGTAGTTGAATACGATATTAAATTGTATTGTAATTATTAATGTTATTTTATATTAAAGGGGCGAGGGTTGGTGCAGTGTTTATCGCACTGCGCTATGAACCCAGTGACCGGAGTTTCGTTCCTGGCCATGGCTGACTTGGACATCTAAAGAGCTTTATAGCTCATCGGATTCCTCCAGAATAAATAAATATTCTGGTACCTTTAATACCCACTCCCTCCCACCAATAACAAGCACTAACTAGCTTGGTGAAGTATGGTCAAAAACCCTCACAAACGCGGTGTATGGAAGGCCTTCATCCAATCGTCGACTGACAACAGCGGGACTGAAATGTCCACGTAAAAAAAAAATATTAGAACATTCAAAGCCCGAGTGAATCGGGCTCTTGTTGTAGTCTGCTGCTTAAAGATACATTTCAGAGACAGCTGTTTGAATTAAGGTCATTGTGACCGTTTGTGTTATTGTGGTTTCCCCCCCCCCACCCCCAGCGTGAGACGAGGCTTTTGTGACCAATTGTAATTGTTGTTGATTTACTCTCCAACGAGACCGGTGTGCTGTACTCGTAAGGTATTGCCACGTTCTGTTTACGTGGCAAACCTTACTAATTGGCTGTGTCGGGTGGTGGCGGGCTTAACGACACATTTTTTATTTACGCGATCAAACCCAATACACCTCTATTATGGATGAGACAACAACACTTGCAATTGGCAGCTTGTTTCAAATTAACATGTTTCGTAGAAACTATGCTTTAATTTGTTTCTATGCTGCTTCTCAATGTAATTTCTGCTGCACGTGCACCACCACACCACGCATTACGCCTATATCATTTTTAATTTAATAAAGTGTCTTTGCACACGAAAAAAAACACCCTTTCGGGGCTTGAATTGAATTATTCACACTTAACTTAAACTCCAAGTAAAACTAAGATCCTGTCGGTATATTTTATGTGTACAGAAAATAATAACTCATAGCCACAGAGTCCTAGATTTCGGCTGTAGGGTAAAAAGGTGGACGCCACTGTTACGAGATGTTAACTACCTCGCCTGGTATACAGGGGCTCGTTGGTTCGGTCCCGATCATGAGGCCTGTATAATTGGAGTTTGCGTGTCTCTCTCCCCGTGGCCGAGTGGATTTTTCTCCGGGTCTTCCGGATTTTCCCTCCACATTAAAAAAAAACATGCTTTTAGAGTATTTGGCTGATATAAATGTCCACATGATAAGCCACTTCGTTGAGCTATCATTTGTGGCCAAGTCGCTTCTGTAAAAGAGCTATAGAGCTCAGTGGGCCTTACCTGGTAAAATAAATGAAGTTTAATTTTCATATTATTATTTTATTTTAAAAAACGATTTTTTTTTTTTTTAATATAATGGTGGAATTCGTTGAAACCGCATTCCCATACTAATGGATACCTGTAGCTTCAGCCCTGGGTGGGACTGTGACCACTGAATGGTGAACGCTGTTGCAGAGTGCACATCTCGCAAAAGCAAGGTTGCAGGTCACGAGTGCTGGTCGTGGCGGTAACTCCACCCTTCATCCGTATACAGGATCAATAAAAACAAGCACCGCTCTGTGAGAGGTGAACGGTTGCTCATCGGAGCGACTGACACTGCCTGCTCGGGGCCAGTAGTAATGGGGATAAGCACCAGCGTTCAGGCAGGCACCTTGACCTGCTGTCGCTCTCCGGTACGTCCGGGCTGCGGGTTGTGTCGCGTACCGCTCGGCATTTACGTCGGGGACTCGGTACCTGAAGAAGCCCACCCCCCCCCCCCACAACCCCCCTGCCCCCACGACTGCGTGTGGAGTGAATCGTCGGACGTCACGCCAGACGGCACAACCCGAAAACAAACCAACCGTGGAGCTGCAGTCCGGCGGCAAACGCACGCGTGGTTTCACACTTGACCAACCGCCCTGTCCTTTGCCGTCCGCCGACGCAGGGTCTATGAGTACCCGGTGAGGGGGCCCCTGCCCCCGCCTCGCACGCTGCTGCCCATCAAGCGCCCGCGCATCTCCGTGCCCGTGCCACGGCGCGGCAAGGGGGGGTTCCCCCTGAAGGGGGGGCCCCGCTCCACCGTGACGGGCACGGCCCCCTCGGGCCCCAAGCGGCCCACTAACGACATCGCCGCCACCGTCAGCCCGAGCGCTCTGGCCTCCATCCGGCCCGAGCCCACAATCGGCCCATCCACCGTCCAGGGCTCTCAGTCCGTGGCTAATAACTCCAATGGTGAAGTTCCGATTCTCCGTGTTTCCTTGTGCTGGCTTGATGTTGATTATCTCCGCTGACATGTAGAAAACAAGTTTTGTTTTCATTACTGTTATTAAGGGGATATAAACGAGTTATTGTCCATGTTCTGGGAACGGGACTGAGCAGCTATCTTTCTCAACTTGATAACATCGGCAGACAATACGCCTCCTGAAAATATATATTTCTCCACGTGACAAAAATTAAGCTCTTTTTATTTTCTTCGCAACCCTATCAGCCACATGGTCTTCTGGGAGTTCACAACTTAAACAACATCGCTTCAATGGCAACAAACGCTCGATCGGTTCCAGCTTTCAATGTCTCATCAGCAGAGCCAGGCTCGCTTGAATCAGTCAATGCTGGTGAAATCCAAAAATGTCTAAGGGCCTTCGTTATGATAATTTTGTGTTATGTACCCTTGATAATATAATAGATTATATAGTCGAGGGGAAAAGTGAGCTGTTCGGTTCAGTTCCAGCAGAAGCTTCCCCAGCGCGTGCAACGAAATGTCGGACATCGTTCCGAACAACGCGCGGTGTGACATCGGAGAGCCGTTCCGTACGACCGTGAAGTCAAACACAAAAAATAATGTGATTCGCTTGCTGAACTTAGACACCTGTGAATATAAACATGAGAGCTGGAACCTCTGTGAAATGTCACAGTTCAGCCGTTTCTTGAATAATCCAACTGCCCCTTTAATCGCTGGCAACTGTGTTCTCATTAAATTGTTAATATCCTGTCCTGTCCTCCTTCCGCATGACCTCACTCACATCATTGCGACTGCAGTATTTATTTTGATAGACTAGATTTTAATTTTCATTACAAATTTAATTAGATTTTTTTCATTCATTCACGAGAGCAGAGGGATTGATGTGCGGTCCCGTGGATAAATAATACCTACCTAATGTTAAATACTTTTGAAGTTCCACATTTAAGAAACAAATCACGAGAACATATTATGAACTGGAGGAAATAATAATGGTTTAGTTACACTTTCCTTGAAGCAATTTGCTAACGTTTCATAAAATCTGTATATGTGTTTGGACAGATACGACAGCCGCCTTTCATTAAAAAATATATACATTAGCCGAAAACCAAAGTCACATTTGATATGTTGTGATCATCAGTGATTTAGAACTGCACCATCGGATTTAATATTTCAGCATAGATATGACGCGTCTAAAATATGTCCTGGAGACTTAATAGATGTGGAGACTTATTGCAGCTTGTCTCAGAAGCCTTATTGGTTGTGATATAATGAAAACAGCAATTGATGGACAAACTGTCAAAATGCAAGGCTGTTGTTGTGTATTGTGCGCCACATTTACGAAATCTATGTTGAGCTAATTCATTTCACTGATGTCACACGGAGCGGCATTGCCATTTATTACATTTGAGACTTCAAAACCTGTTTATCATCTGGTCGCGGGGACGAGGAAAATTCTAAAGCAGGTTTTGTTATGTTATAATCCTCCGGGATCTTACGAAGGAATACAAACAAAAACGACATTATGTGATTCTGCTCAGAGTATTGTGAAACCCAGAGCTTAATTCAAATTCCTTCTGGATTGCATTGGACATCTCTGAAACAATTTCTTGTGTTTCTCTTTCCCCCAACAAAAGAAAAAAATTGACACCAACACCAATTCCGTTAACAGTTTATGGGGGGCCATGAGGGTCAGCAAACCGATTTTGAAAAGTTTTGCTGGTGTAGATTTTTCTTCTCCTAAAGTTGTACGCGGTTGTATTTTGCTCACTTTGTATGGAAATTTCGCTAATGTCGTCACTGAAATTCTCATAATATAGTGCCTATTTGTTGATTTTATGAAAACCACATTTCAATCCGCAATGAAGGATATATGTTACGCACGTGGTGTTTGCACACCGATGTACTTATAAATGCCCTCGCCGCTAACTATATTTATTTTTTTGAGCCCCCCCCAAAAAATCCCATTACAAGGTCTGTAATAGGATTTGAACATTTCGACCGGCTTTACAATTTTTTTTGTTCCTTACTGTGACATTTCTATTGTTTTGTTGCAGTGCGGAGTCATGACCTGTACACAATAAAGCAAGAGCTCACACAGATAAAAACTAAAATTGATTCGCTTCTGGAGAGCCTGGAGAAGATAGAAAAAGATCAAAGAAATCAAAACTGTACGTAGTATTTATTTATTCATTCACCACAACACACATTTGTGTATTACAATATTTGTCTATTACAATATTTGTGTATTACAATATTTATGGGTTTCTCATTGTTGCTGCTGCTGGTGGGTTTAAATTTTTTACTCCCCAGTGAAGTTATTGGTACCTTTGGTGGCTTAGTGGTTTGCGTAGTGTGCTGTGAACCTGGCAACCCCTGTTAAATTCCTGGCCACGGCTAACATTAGTGACGGGTGATGTCTGAACCGGTCCTTTGCGCACCCACTTCACACCAAGCCCGTGGAGACCAGCACAGTGCAGCATGGTCAAACAACCACCATGACCGACATGGCACGAGGTGGCTTCCATCCAGCAGTGGATTGACAGAGGGCTGACAATTGTTATGAATTGGTCACGTTCGAAGTTGCACGAATGGTGCGTGCATTTTAATTGAATATAATATTGCCCAAGCGTTTGTTTTAAGACCGGGGGTGGTGGGGGTGGTGGGGGGGGGGGGGGCGAATGGCCAAGAAAGTTTAATTTACCCACCTGTCAAGTGATGGACAGCCTCGGACATGTGCTGGAAGGCAATGTGCTGCTGTGAGATGCTGGGTAATTTAACCTGCCAAAGGAGACCGATCGCTGGAGTAACACGCTTTGTCCTCCCATTGGCATTGTTAAAGCCATCCTGGTGAGTTTGGAATTCGGCGTCATCTCGTCCCATTACTTCCAGTGTAGCGACCTATTCAGCACCACCTGACATTGCTTCATTCGGTCTGCCTATGTCCTTCGCAAAAAAAAAAAGGTCCTAAAGGTTATTGAAAACGCTCGGCACCACGGGTTGAATGCTAGAGCTAGGCGGTTTGAACTCCTGTACGCAGCGCTAACAATTTATTTTTAAAAATTCAATTTCGGATCATGTCATCTTTATCATCATCATCATCATCAGACATGATCAATCCACTGCTGGATGAATGCCTCCCCAAATCGCCGCCATCTCTTGTGATTCTGCGATGTGACAACTCACCTGGCATCTGCACAGGGGCTGAGCGATCCATCTCCCCGGTGGACGTTCTCTCAGATGCGTGCCATTCCTTCGGATCATGTTAGGCCATCTAACAGCTTGAAACAAGTTCACCTTATATGAGTATACGTAAAATTAATAGAATAATTATTAATTGGAAAGTTTGCCTTACCCACATTGCTGTTAATTTCAAATTGATAATCGTATTACTAATGTGATCCGCTACCTTTTATTTTCACGATATCACTTTCTGATGTAAATGTTTCTTGAAATATACGTCACCACTTTTTTTTTTAAATGTGCAAAACATGACTGCATCAAACGAATGCGTTTCCTATTGGAATCTCCGCCTTCTTATATTAAGCGTTCGATTTTGCAAGCCGGACAAGCGGTCGAAGAATGAACTAAAGGAATGTGTTAGGTCAAGATATGCCGATAGAGCAAATTGTGTGCTGTATCCACAGCTGTCTGTGACCACGTGGAAGGGAATGGGATGGAGGAATTGGTCCCTGGGACCCCAGAGGAGCCAAACACAGATGATGCCCTGGAGGGAGGGAGCGAGGAGGTGGGAGACAGAGACAGAGAGGACGATGACTTTGAAGAGGAGACTGTCCATGTGGTGAATTGCTTTTAGATCGCAGTTGTACATGAAATAGAGGTTGTATGCACTGCACGAGATTACATGCATGATTGATAATTGCCCTCTACCCTGTAGAAGTATAAATAACTATGTTATAGCATTTCGTTTTCAATTTATTTCTCTGATGCAGCAAAGTTTTCTTACGTACATTCTGTCAAAAATTCAGTTTCCCCATCTTCAAATTTATCAAGCATGTCGTTTACATATTCATAAATTGGTAGATTTTTCCAGCAGACCATCAATCCACAAGTCATTACACTCACACTGCAGTGCGCAGATGCCGCAACATGATAAATTATGTGCTAAATAAATAATGAACCACATGACTGGCTGAAAGGGCCATATCTGCACTGCAAATCGTGCAAATAACCACTATCTTTGCACTCTTGCGCCTGCGTCGATGTACACACGAGAGAGCCTTTTTGTCAAGCAGATACAGACGTCAAATATCACGGGCACATAAATATCCGTATCTTACTGCTCCGCTTGGCAACTCTGTGAAAGCGAGTATCACTCGGACCTGCTGGTGATTGACGGGATGTCATTCTTACTCTCGATGGACGGTGGGAAATAAATAAATAAATAAATCGCTTGGGTTGCGCATTACTGTCAGGAAGTTGGAGAAACTCCTTTTCTTTTTTTTATTTGGCCCTCAAGAGTGCAAGCCATTCCCATTAAATGCCAACGATTCACAATAAGTGGAGGCCCAACGCTGATGTTTAGTCCGTGAAGGTTGCTCTGAAGGTTACATGTCCATGCAGTTTCGACAAAAACAAGCCGATTGTTGAAGTTCGAATTCAATACATTTTCGTTGGGTTACATAATACAATATTATTCTAAAATATGATTGCCAATGTATACATGCCGAACTTCGTTTGCACCGTACATTGCCAACCATGCTAATTGTATAGAGTATTTTGAGGCAGATGTGCTGTTTTGATCACCATGTATGTAACGAAATAAAATGTTCATTTAGAAAATGGTGCCTCTGTTATACCGATTCAAAAAAGATGACCTTTGATTTTCAATCCTTCAATTCAATCCAATGGAGTTGACCAGTGGCGCTGCTGTGGTTAGTTTGCTTCAGCATGAACTCGGCGACTTCAGTTTCCACTGCTAAAGTCAGTGGCAAGTGACACCTGAAGTGGTCATACCCTCTGCCGCACTCTCCCTCTTGAGTTATGAATTTGAAATGTTGTTGTCCTTCCCCAGCACCTCCGATTAGCACAGTTGGCTACGTACGGTGTGAACAAAGTTCCACATACATACAAACAAATCCCATGGCCGACACTGCATGGGAAGGCCTTAATCAAGCAGATAATTAACAAAGAGCGCTGCAAGTCATTACTTTTGTTATTAAAAGCCCATTGAGACCATCACTTTTTCAAGGTAGATCTGCCATTTGAATTTGTGAAACAGTGAGCAAAACAATGCAATGAAGTGTAAAGAAATCAGAAAATACCAATTGAGAAAAATACAACAACATTAATAACAAATATTTTAAACATTAATTATGCATGACAAAATTGCCTGAGCATGTGTGTTAGAAATATATATTATTTTTGACAATCTCATCATTTAGAAAATGTGGTTTTCTTTAAGATATATGATGAGTGTCTATCAGACTATTTAAACAATGTAGCCCCCACACACACATGACCATGGGTGTGTATGCTTTTTTAAAAATATGCATATTGTATATGTGGCAACATTGTTAACTATTTTATTTTTCTTGTTCAATTCAGAATAACCACATATCAGATTCTGAGGAAACACAGTGACCTTGGACAATATGAATCAGGTTAGTATCTGACGTGTTTTATATCATTTGTATCGCATATTTTATTGCAATTGATACCGGTATTGTGGTGAAACGGTGCCATTAAACCTGCAGATGAAGACAAATTATGGTAATGATTGTAATGTTTTTTTGCTTTTGCCAAACGTCGGGTTCTTCCAGTGTAGATGCAATGTCTACTTGCCTATTGTCGTAGGTGGTGGTGCTGATGCTGGCGGTGTATTCAGCCAAACGTTACATCAAGGTGTATTGTGCTGAAGAGTAGTGTGATGTTCTTTCGAATTATTTTTGGATGGAATGGGTTCTCATCTCTGACGCAAACCTAAACCTCGACCAGAAAATATTTAAAAATGTGGCCGGGGGGGGGGAGGAACCCAACCACAGACCTTTAATAGAGTATCAGTGGCATCATGAGCCCAAATATTGACACATATGCAGGTCACTATGATCACTGCTATGTTGCGTGGCATTTCTAGCTGTCAACTTGTAAAGATGCCACGCAAATTTACCAGCTGTCATACGCATTACTTTTTCAATAAAATAAACGGAGATGTAAATTCAAATATGACCTTTGTGAATACGCGTATTAGTATTATGCATCCGTGTAAAGTTAAAGTCTAATTTGGGGAGCACATGTATGTAAATTAAAGTTGTTGCCACATTGCTTGCCATGGACTTCGCACTGACAATCATGTTTTCTTTTTATATTTCAATCACACACACACACCCCTAACAGTTGTTGAGTCTAGAAAAAAGGGGGGTGGGCATTGGCACTTGTTGGCACAATTTAATGAATGTGAAATTATTTCCTTAGGTGAAAATGAATCATAACAGATGTGCATCGGAGACACCGGCAGAAGTCGCGAAATGAAGAGGAAGGATCTTCTGCATAATTGCAGACCAAATTGATTTTGTTCACGAGCTCCAGTCATCCACATACACAGTGCCAACATTTTACAAATCCTCATTATTACACCGCTCAGCGATAAGGTGACAGTGTCATTATGACTACTGAGAATTTGTTTTAATTGGGATATCTGAGAAAGAGCTGTGCTAGAGCTGTGATATATATATTTACGGTTCAGATTTCATTATGCAGCTCGTACATTCTTGCAAGGTATCACGATTCTGAGCTAATTGATACTCGCATTTGTATTTTTGCTCTCCACCTGTTTGTGTTTTGGCATTTCTACAAAGAGCTTAGTTTGTGGTTTTGTAAGGGGTTGTTGGGCTTCGTAAATGGACGGAACAATTTTTTTTGTCAATCGCATGCTGATTCACACCGATGATTTAACATTCTACCTGTGTTTTACCCATTTGTCGTCAAGGTCCCCCTTATTTATTGTCAATATGTTTTACAGTTGTTTGGCTTGATGATATTTATTTGGTCGCATGGACGAGCGAAGGAGTCATTTTGCTTTGCGCCCAGCACGGCGCCGTGAATAACAGTGCTGTAAGACACGTGTTCGCGTCGCGTCGACACCGCATCCCCACCCGCTGCTTCATCCCACCCCGGTGTTGTCTTTTGATGGTAGTGACAAAACGAAGGCAATGTCCCTGCGGAATTCAAAAAAATCTATTTACACTTGAGTGTATAATTAGGCGTGGTGTTTACCGTGCGGTGTGTTTGCAGAGTGTCAGTTTTGAGTGATTCAAGGCCACCATTTACAGTTAAATTGTCTGCATTTAAGCCAAACGCTAGGCAGATTTGGTCTCTTTATCCGGGCTGTGGGACATGAATTTATCTCGATTATTACCGAAAGGAAACACCGGGGGGAAACGGCGAGAATGCAGAGAATATTGCATTTCTCTCGCGAAACTGGTGTCAAAATCAGGGTTTCTCAAAGATGCAGCTGTTATAAAAGAGAGAAAAAAAGCCTAAAATACCGTGAATAAAGTTATTTTTAAAAAAAGACTACCTATATAATTTATGGAATATGATTATTGTACATAACTCCCGAATCATCTCCATATAGTGCTGTACAAATAAGAGCTTATTACTCATACTTTGCTTCATTTTCGATGTAATGTCCATTCATCGGTCCAACGCGGTTCTTGCTGTTCTCATCGGATCGTACGCTCATGCGTCCAAGCTTCGGCTTCTTTTCTTCTTCTTCTTCTTGGCTCATTAAATAATGGGGGGGGCGGGTGGGGGGGCTTGCGGCGCTGCATCGGCGCTCTCGCCCGCCGCACAAAGCAAAAATCTTGGAACCCTTCGCGAGCGAGCGGACTTCGCGGCAGCGGCGAAGGAACGACTTTTTGTCATTTTTTTTTTGGGCTAGGCAATGTTTCGTGCGCTGGCAAAAAAAAAAATATTGCGAGGCGCACTTTATATATATAGCCCCTAGATTCATATAATATCTGCCCAAAGGCACAATACGAGTAGAAAACCTCGAATTTGTTTCCTCTACCAGTTTTGATTCTGTGCTTTCCTTTGTTGAGTGAGATTGATCGTGTTCCCAGACCGCCGTGTATATACGTGCATTGTTATACGCGGCAATTGCCACGTCGTGCAGAGTAAGAGATGAAGTAACATTGAATCGTGACGTGCATTACAAGATGTTTTTTTTCAAAATGCTTTTGATCTTTAATGGCCCCGCTTGTCATCATTTTGTTTTTTTTGGTGTTGTGTGGCTTTGTGAGGTTTTTTTTTAGATAAACACAAACAACACTTAATTAGCAAATTCAGCTTTTTGTCTAATTCTGTATTCTAAGTATGTGCGCGTGTCTGTGTTAAACTGTACAGTGTGTCGTGTGCCTCTATTCGCAACGAAGCTTCAGTGTGCTGCAAATGCCTTCATAATTCAGGATGGGAAACCAGTCAACTTCCTCAGACGTAGCGCAGACACAGTCGGTCTTTCCCATGTCAACCAGTCTAAAGGTGTGTGAGTGTGAGAGTATAATTCTTGAGATATGGGGAGCGGTAGTGGAGCGGTTAGCGCTACGCTGCGCTACGAAACTGGTGACCCGAGTTCGATTCCCGCTCACGGCCAACACCAGTGACGATTATCTTAACCGGTCCTGGGTCTCCCCTAGGTCGACTCAGCCTCAAATGTGTATCTGGTGCGGTGTGTCAACATCGCCACTGGGGAGACAAAGGCGGTCGGGCGTGGTGGTGGCCACCCACCCTCTCGTGTACCGTGCCGGCCTTCATAGGTGCTCGCTAACAGCACTTGCCCCAACAGTCTGTTACAGGCGACACGTGGGGATTAAAAAAATGCTTGAGATCCAATCTGCCAGTGAATGGCGAAGATTGACTGTGTTTGGCCGTACATACTTAGTTACCTATCCCTGTTCTAAACCATTACTTGTCAACGTGGCTCTGTTCTATCTGTTAATTACACCCAGTCACATGGTTTATGTTTTTACAAGGCCAGCCATTTCAAGGACTGATCTATTGCAATTATACAAACTGTCTAAGCGAGAGAAATAATCAATTCACGGTACTTTACCTCGCCATTATATGTTTTATGTTTATTTTATATAAACTCAAAAGTGTTTAATTTTTTGGCAGTGATTTGAAAATTAACAGATTATCGAGCATGTAAGGGGATTGTGTGGCGCAAAAGCAGGCCACATGCGGAAGTCAACTCAAGGGAATACATGCAGTATGCACATGGAACGCAGACACAATGCCTTCAAACCGAGCTGTTGCTCACTGAAATAGGTTATGTGGTTTAATCCTGACTGATTCTGTGCATGCTTAGATTTAAAGAACACACTAAACAATGTGAGAGTCAATTTGGAGGCATCTGAGTGCAATTACGATAATGAAATTCGATAAAACAACCCAAATTCCCTTGTTTCGATTAATTAATTAACATCGATTTTGTTTTGTTCGCTCACAATAGATACATCGACTTGTGCATGTAAGAATCAATGTGTATTAAATGTGTATGCTCAGCATGCTTGTGTGCAGCGAACCCAGCGACCCCGGTTTGATTTGCTGGCCAGGGATATCTGAACTCCCCCCCCCCACCACTTCACCGACCCACATGGTGAAGTATGGTGAAAGCGTGCCCACGACAAGGCATGGGGAGGCCTTTATCCACAATTGGATTACAAAGGACTCATACAAAAAAATATTATAATTAATTTATATATTGTATGTAATGGGTTCAAGTGACCTCTGTGTCCACTCGGGGCCACTGAATATCACCACAATTAAAATAACATTTCTCGAGAATAATTGCGATCACGGATTGCGATGATTCAACGAATTCTCGGAGGATGGGAGGTTGCCTCGCTAGATCGTAAATCATTAACACGTCTGCTGCATTGTAAAGCCTGCACTGGGTCATCCTACAGGAGGAATGGAGCCACATTGTCTGATTAGCTAAAGTACAGATTTTGTTTTTGGAAAAAAAAATGCTTGTTCATATTGTAATTAAAGTATATTAATAAAATGTGTTGTGTGAGCGCTTTACTTAATTCACTGGACTATTTGTTAAGTCTCTATAATGCAAACAATCAGGAAAGTCTCACTGCCTGTCTGAGGCATGTTGGTGTGCCATAAAGAAGAACCACTGCTCAAAACGACACCTATTACAAACGTCTTTTGACTTAGAAGGGAGTGTTATTGACTAATGTGTTTGTCATTTGTGCGAGCACACCAACTGCCAATGTAGTATCACCAGATAACTAAGGCTTATATAACAATAATATATTCTATAATATAGGTTTTTTTTTGGGTTAGATCCCGTAAAGAAATAAATGTGTCGTTAAACCCGCCACCACCCAACACAGCCAATTTAGCAAGGTTTGTCACATAAACAGAACATGAAAATTCGTTACTGTTACAGCGCACCGGTGTGTTGGAGAATAAAGTTAAATTTATTTACAATCTGAGTATGACGTTTCGCCAGTTATTGGCATGTTCTGCTTACGTGACAAACTTGACTAAATTGCCTGTGTCGGGTGGTATCGGGCTTGACACATTTATATATTTACGCGATCTAAACCAAAAAAAACTGTATTATGGATGATATTGGTCGTGAAAGCCTAAGTGTTAAAATTACATAAATTACTTTTTCAGCAGGATCCTGCAAGGGATTGATTAGCCCATTCGAGCGATGAGTGTCTGGCATGTGGAAGGAAACCAGAGTGCCCAGAGAAAACCCAGGCATACGAGGAGAGTGACACTTAGCACTTCCATATCCTTGCCAACTTTGTTAATGCCAATGAAAACAACACGTAGAAATCGCCACGGTCTCTCATCCAAATGAGAACCAAGCTCAACCCTGCATAGCCAAAGAGATCCGACATGGCCGGTCACAATTTATGTCGGTTTGACTGCAATGTAAATCGCGTTGTCATGTAGTAGAGCGAGAACGCAAAACTACAGTAAGGAGCAAGTGCAAAGCTCAATTCTGAGACAAATTAGGGAACCTCGTCCTTCCAAATAATTGCCAAGAGCGGCTTTGGTTCCGACGGTCGAATTATTATCAGTACTCTTTGTAAGCACTGCATTTCAGCAGACTCGGTAATGGCAGAGCGTAAAAAAAATGACATTTGCCGTGCCTCATTTGGCTAATTGGAATGCAAGTTCACTGTGCACCGTAGCAGCAGCTACACTTTAATTGCTGAGCGTTTATTGCAGGCGTCCCTTAAATAATCATCTTAGCTTGCGTTGATCGACACAGGCCGAACAGGGCCTTGGCTAGCAAAGAGCTGGCCATGGCAAACGAAAAATTTAACAAAAATCGGCATCAACACTGCTTGCTGTCGGTCAGTATGGGCATTGGGGAGGGAGAGGTTACTGGCCGAGAAGTGGCGGTCTCTACCTGCCAGCCGTGGGGGGAGGAAGATGGGACGAAGTACACCACGATAAGAGCACTGCCCCTGCAAAACGCTTATATTTTAACCCCACGTTGCTCATTGCACAAGCAGGTTGCCAGCCACTGCGGCGCGATGCCACAGTGCTATTTAAACGCCAAGCGTTATGCTTAAGGTTTGTTGGTTACAGTAGAAATGCGAGTGCTTTTCCGCGGCACCTTGAGGCCAAAACGTCACATTTAGTTGTGAGTGTATTAAGCGTTCATTTGGGGGGGGGGGGGGGGGGGGGGGGGGGAAATAGCCTCCTTGCCCAAGTGAGGATTTCGGCCGCGCTCCTCTGTGTTGAGCTCTTGGTGCAAATATTACATCCCTACAATTTAACATATCGACATGTGTATTTTAAAAAAAGCATGCTCAATTTATATTGTTGGCATAACAAGAAACATTAAACGAGACAACAAATAGGGCGAGTACAAAAAAAAACCGACCGAAACAAATCAAAGACTAAATAAAAGTTTGACAAATCGTCAGACAACAAAGGCGATCGTGAGAGCGCGTGCACCATCCCCCCCCCCCCCCCCCGCGTTGAACATGAAGAGGAGGCAAGTCTGTACGGTGCCCAAGTCGGCCGACTCTAGCCCCAAGGAGGAAGGCGGCGACGGCCACGATGCCAGCGGTGGCGTCCGACTCGCGCGCACGATCGGCTTCGCCACGGGCGTCAACGTGCTGGTGGGCAGCATGGTGGGCTCGGGCATCTTCGTGTCGCCCGGCGGCGTCCTCCGTTTCGTCGGCGGTGACCCCAGCTCGGCGCTCCTCGTGTGGGCCGGCTGCGGGCTGCTCTCCCTCCTGGGTGCCCTCTGCTACGCCGAGCTGGGCGCTGCGGTGCCCACGACGGGTGGCGAGTACGCGTACGTCCGGCGCGCGTTCGGCGCTCCGCTCGCGTTCCTCTTCGCGTGGACGTCCGTGGCGCTGCTGCGGCCGGCCATGAACTCGGCCGTGGCGCTCACGTTCGCCGAGTACGTCCTGCGACCGCTCTTCCATGGCTGCCCCGCGCCGCCCGCAATCGTCAAGTGCCTGGCCATCGCTTCGCTGCTGGTCGTGGGCATCCTCAACTGCGTCAGGTCGGCGGCTCGTGAACAGCAACAGCGACAACGCAGCGAGGCACTTGTCCGCGCGCGTGTGTGTGTGTGCCCTGACCGTTCGGCCGGCGCAGTAGTTGCGCGCGGCTGTAAACCGTTCCCGATATCTGTCTCTATCTCGGTGGCCCGCTGCGGGTCCGATATGCGACGCATTCACCGTTTAATCAATGATCTAATTTCCATAAATTTTCATGCGTCGTCTGTGAACGTCGACTGCAGTGGCAGCCAAGATAAATGTGGCTAAGCTAAATCTGTAGCAGCACTCATTTTAACGGGCGAAACTTTATAGCCCTTCGTAGTGATAACGCGAATTAAGGTAGCTCCCCGTAAGTGCATTTAAATTACCCTTAAACCCAGGAAGACATCGACAATTCTCAGGAGTCACGTTCGTGGGGGGGTGGGTCCTACCTTGGTTTGTCTCACCAAATCCCTTCCCAATATTTCGTGTGTTTGTCGGAGGCAACCAGAGTATTTAGAACCCGCGCGTGCGATAGCAAAGCGCTCAGAAATGTTGCACAGATTCGGTCAGGAACCCACCTGTTGTGCTGCCTTCTGCCGGCCACCACATTGCCCTGCAACTTCAGTATCACACACACACAAATTCAACAGATTATTATTTCCACAATCAACCAAGGTCCTACAATATAATCGCTTAGTTTATTGACATCACTTACTGGAAATCAGTCGCCTCCTCATCACTCTTCGACCGCAAATGCCATGATCACCGATACCGTGACGTTCAATAATTAATTCTTCCTCCCAATTTGAAGACGACTGACTGCAGATCACAACCAACTCACTCACTCAGCCACCCACTCACTCACCCCACTGCAGGTCACAACAACACCTCACCCACTCACTCACTCACCACACTGCAGGTCACAACAACTCACTCACTCACCCACCCACTCACTCACCACACTGCAGATCACATCAACACCTCACCCACCCACTCATTCACCACACTGCAGGTCACAACAACACCTCACTCACTCACTCACCACACTGCAGGTCACAACAACTCACCCACTCACTCACCACACTGCAGGTCACAACAACACCTCACCCATCCACTCACTCACCACACTGCAGGTCACGACAACTCACCCACCCACTACCTCACTCACCACACTGCAGGTCACAACAACTCACTCACCCACCCACTCACTCACCACACTGCAGGTCACAACAACACACTCACTCACCCACTCACTCACCACACTACAGGTCACAACAACTCACCCACCCACTCACTCACCACTCTGCAGGTTACTTGAACTCACCCACTCACCATACTGCAGGTCACAACAACTCACTCACTCACCCACCCACTCACTCACCACACTGCAGGTCACAACAACTCACTCACCCACTCACTCACTTACCACACTGCAGGTCACAACAACACACTCACTCACTCACCACACTGCAGGTCACAAAAACTCACCCACTCACTCACCACACTGCAGGTCACAACAACTCACTCACCACACTGCAGGTCACAACAACTCACTCACTCATCCACTCACTCACCACACTGCATGTCACAACAACACACTCACCCACCCACTCACTCACCACACTGCAGGTCACAACAACATACTCACCCACCCACTCACTCACCACACTGCATGTCACAACAACTCACTCACCCACCCACCCACTCACCACACTGCAGGTCACAGCAACTCACTCACCCACCCACTCACTCACCACACTGCATGTCACAACAACTCACCCACTCACTCACCCACTCACTCACCACACTGCAGGTCACAACAACACACTCACTCACCCACCCACTCACTCACCACACTGCATGTCACAACAACACACTCACTCACCCATCCACTCACTCACCACACTACAGGTCACAACAACTCACCCACCCACTCACTCACCACACTACAGGTCACAACAACTCACTCACCCACTCACTCACCACACTGCAGGTCACAACAACTCACTCCCTCACCCACTCACTCACCACACTACAGGTCACAACAACTCACTCACCCACTCACTCACTCACCACACTGCAGGTCACAACAACTCACTCCCTCACCCACTCACTCACCACACTGCAGGTCACAACAACATACTCACCCACCCACTCACTCACCACACTACAGGTCACAACAACTCACTCACCCACTCACTCACCACACTGCAGGTCACAACAACTCACTCACCCACCCACTCAGTCACCACAATGCAGGTCACAACAACTTACTCACTCACCCACCCACTCACTCACCATACTGCAGGTCACAACAACTCACTCACCCACTCACCACACTGCATGTCACAACAACTCACTCACTCACCACACTGCATGTCACAACAACTCACTCACCCACTCACTCACTCACCACACTGCAGGTCACAACAACACACTCACTCACCCACCCACTCACTCACCACACTGCATGTCACAACAACACACTCACTCACCCATCCACTCACTCACCACACTGCAGCTCACAACAACTCACTCACCCACTCACTCACCACACTACAGGTCACAACAACTCACCCACCCACTCACTCACCACAATGCAGGTCACAACAACTTACTCACTCACCCACTCACTCACCATACTGCAGGTCACAACAACTCACTCACCCACTCACCACACTGCATGTCACAACAACTCACTCACTCACTCACCACACTGCATGTCACAACAACTCACTCACCCACTCACTCACTCACCACAATGCAGGTCACAACAACTCACTCACTCACCCACCCACTCACTCACCACACTGCAGGTCACAACAACTCACTCACCCACTCACCACACTGCATGTCACAACAACTCACTCACCCACTCACTCACTCACCACACTGCAGGTCACAACAACTCACTCACCCACCTACTCACTCACCACACTGCAGGTCACAACAACTCACTCACTCGCCCACTCACTCACCACACTGCAGGTCACAACAACTCACTCACTCACCACACTGCAGGTCACAACAACTCACTCACTCACCACACTGCATGTCACAACAACTCACTCACCCACTCACTCACTCACCACACTGCAGGTCACAACAACTTACTCACTCACCCACTCACTCACCATACTGCAGGTCACAACAACTCACTCACCCACCCACTCAGTCACCACAATGCAGGTCACAACAACTTACTCACTCACCCACCCACTCACTCACCACACTGCAGATCACAACAACTCACTCACCCACTCACCACACTGCATGTCACAACAACTCACTCACTCACCACACTGCATGTCACAACAACTCACTCACCCACTTGCTCACTCACCACACTGCAGGTCACAACAACTCACTCACCCACCCACTCGCTCACCACACTGCAGGTCACAACAACACACTCACTCACCCACCCACTCACTCACCACACTGCATGTCACAACAACACACTCACTCACCCATCCACTCACTCACCACACTGCAGCTCACAACAACTCACTCACCCACTCACTCACCACACTACAGGTCACAACAACTCACCCACCCACTCACTCACCACACTGCAGGTCACAACAACTCACTCACTCACCCACTCACTCACCACACTGCATGTCACAACAACTCACTCACTCACCACACTGCATGTCACAACAACTCACTCACTCACTCACCACACTGCAGGTCACAACAACTCACTCACTCACCACACTGCATGTCACAACAACTCACTCACCCACTCACTCAGTCACCACAATGCAGGTCACAACAACTTACTCACTCACCCACTCACTCACCATACTGCAGGTCACAACAACTCACTCACCCACTCACCACACTGCAGGTCACAACAACTCACTCACCCACCCACTCACTCACCACACTGCAGGTCACAACAACACACTCACCCACCCACTCACTCACCACACTGCAGGTCACACCAACTTACTCCCTCACCCACTCACTCACCACACTGCAGGTCACAACAACTCACCCACTCACTCACTCACCACACTGCAGGTCACAACAACTCACTCACCCACCCACTCACTCACCACACTGCAGGTCACAACAACTCACTCACCCACCCACTCACTCACCACAATGCAGGTCACAACAACTCACTCACCCACCCACTCACTCACCACACTGCAGGTCACAACAACTCACCCACTCACTCACTCACCACACTGCAGGTCACAACAACTCACTCACCCACCCACTCACTCACCACACTGCAGGTCACAACAACTCACTCACCCACCCACTCACTCACCACAATGCAGGTCACAACAACTCACTCACCCACCCACTCACTCACCACACTGCAGGTCACAACAACTCACCCACTCACTCACTCACCACACTGCACGTCACGACACTTCTTCTCTTTCCTTCTCATTGCTCGACGTTGGGATTCCCCCCCCAATCGTTTCTTTGCCTAACCTTGCTCAATTCAATAAACCCATTAAGCCTTACCTACCACGCGTTTAATCGTGCTGTTTGTTGCTGGCTCCTTGCCATTTCGGTCCATTGGGCCTGGACTCAACCACCGTAATTCATGCAATGCATTTAACTGCACCAGCTTGACCACCAGTTATTGTTTCACCTCCGATGAGCACGGTTGGCCACGTGCAGATGCGACAGAATTTTAAAATGGGTACAGAAGCGATGCCGCAAATGTATTTGCATTCCATAACTGCCTCCAGGAGGAACGTCTTTCTCTCTCTCTGTCTTTGTTTATTTCTATCAATGGTTCTTCTCAACCCAGCTTTAGCATGCCCCGTGTTCGGGGGGGGGGGCTTACAAAGTTTTTCAAGAGAGAGATCTTATTTATGCGATTGTGCGTGTGTCACAGAGACGCTTTCGGAATCGGGAAGCGCTCCTCTGCGATGACAAAGCTAAGCCAGTGCCAAATGGAAATGTACTTCTCCAGGTTATTGGTAAAAAAAAAATCATCCTTTCTCTTTCCTCCGTCAATATGAATAGGCTCGCAAGAAAAGGTTAGCAAAGCAGAGCGTGGTGGGGCTGCGTTTGTTAGAAGACCCTGAAGGAGGTTGTCGTACACGCGGAAACCCGTCCACCACGTGCATAAAATGTTGCTCAATTGCGTTTGCGATGGTGCACAGCTGGGAACGCCGCACGCATTAGAGCACTGCCTATTGCTCAGAGGCACACACATACACACACGCGCCCTGGTCAGCTGGGTTTGCTTGTGACATGGGCAGGATTTTCAAAAATAGCGAGAGAAAAAAACTATAATAAATTAACAAAGGTGAAATAAATTGTTTGTCTCCAAATACGAAACGTATGACCCACCAACACGACTGTGAATGCTGTAATAAACAAGCAAAGAACGATGTTAAATGAAACATTTAAGAAAATAATCCATCAAGGTTTAGCAAACTGGATCAAGGCCGAGGCAATGTCGTTACTTGTTTTGCTTATAAGTAGTTCCAGAATTCACCGTCACGACTAGCCAAAAAACACTTGTTCCTCCTAAATGAATATGAACAAAAATCTTATTTGGAATTGCCAACTCAAACTTTTAAACCTCATGAGCTGTTTTAGTGGATCAGCCCTTGTTTTCAAGATAGTTGTCAATCAACATTTAATTGGATTCTTCTTTGGAGTGTGTGGCATTTCACAAACCCCCTGTTGTCACGAGTCTCCACGTTGATTTTTACTTTTCCATTTTCACCGGGTATTGCCAATTCAAATGCAAATGAGATATTGACACGTTGCAAAGCACCTGTTGAATAATAAAATGGATCCCATGAGCATACACGAAAGCTCAAGTCAAAGCTCTCCTGTTATTGGAATTAAGGCACGGGTAAACACGGATATGAATATTTCATGTTTATTTTTCCAAACTGGAGAAATACTTTAATAAGACTGCCAAAATCGTATTGCTTTAAGATATCCTCTAACCTGTTATGGAATTACTTTCATATTATATTCTATGTATTTAATGAAAGGCTCAAGTCCCCTTATACAAAAAATTGTATTTTAATTAATTGTGTGTACAAGGCTCAAGTACTGTAATTGTAACATTGCTATCTGAACGTAGATATAATAATAATGTTTATTTAGCCCCTGCAAATCCACCGCCGGATGTAGGTTTCCACACTCCTCATCTCCATTGTGGAGGCTGTTTGACCATACTTCACCACTCTGGTCAGTACACATTGATGAAGCGGGATTCAGGACTGGTTTTCTCACCGCTGATGTTAGCCATGGCTGGGAATCAAACTTAGGTCACGGGGTTTATAGGGCAGTGTCTTGACCAGAAAGCCGCATTGTTTATCAAACATTTGCATAATAATTTCCTTGGCGTATAAATTCACCCATTAACAAATGTAAATTGTGTATTTATTTAAATACAGGCACCAGGTTGTTCAACGCAATTGCCAGCAGCAGCCACAATACATCCACTGCTGGATGAAGGCCTCCTCAAGCCATTGCCACCTCTAGCAGTCCTGCAACGTAACGATCCACCTAGCACCTGCAAACAAACCAATATCATCGTTCCATTTCTGCGCCAGATGTGCCCCTCGGATAGATACTCTGCGATATAATATTGCATTTAAATTGCAACGGAGCCATGGGAGTGAAGCGCCGGTAACTGATAAAGGGGGACGGAGCATTACGGGAAGGGCTCTATATCCAGATGATGGGCAGGAGAGAGCAATGCTCCAACTTGACGATAAATCGTGCCTAACTGGTGCATTACACAGAGCAGGGGATTATCTTCCCACTGGCAAAAAAATATATATTCTAATGGCTCTTTGGGTTTAGAAATGTCAGCCTCTACTACCACCAGCCTACCCTAATCCCGACCGGGTCAAGGCTGTCATGCGGTCAACATCACTCAGCCTTGCTTCTTCCCATTCCGTGCCGCAAGTCCAAAACCCGCTCTTATATCTACTGTCGTCATATTTCCCATCGCAATGTCGCCACCGATCTCTTACTTTAATCCATTCAATTGTTTTGTCTTCGCTCTGCTCTAAACATGGGCCGATTGCCTAAAGCATTGCCCTCCTGCACAAGTGTTCTGTTATCTAAGGCGGTGACAAGAACAAAGGTGGTGATTTTATTTAATTTTATACCCCAGCTGTTCCATTCATGCAGCACTTACACCCAAAGTCGGCATGCCAGGCCGTTATGGACAGAAACATTCGTGCTATTTTCTAAATTTAATGCAGTAGTCTCTACCATGTGAAACCTTTGCTCGTTTTCAGTTTCTCAGGTGTGCGACCTTGATGCCGCCGTGAGTGACAGAATACAGAAATACGACCGTGAGCCAGCCTGTTATGGGCATCTATTTGAGTCGTGTTTCTCATATCACCCGACTGTGATGAGTCGAGCCCAAGATTTTAATCAATTTCACGATATTGCTGCAGATTACTGCAGCATGAACGTGCATCGACTGATCGCAAGAAATACATAGCTCGACTCAAGGCCGTAGCCATGGAGTCAACATTGGGGGGGACCAAATCTTCTAGGGGGTCTCGGGGTCCCCCCCCCAGAATTTTTTTTATAAATTTGAAAACGAATTTCCTGCCTCAAATATTTAAAATTCACTAACACATGGCATTGCCTTTATTTATTTATTTTTTACAATAATGTCTAATAGTGTTATTGTATTTACATTGCTCTGTTTTTTTTCTTTAATACCTTTTCTTGTTTCATTGTATGTAATGGCAGAGATTAGGGATTCATAAAGTACAACCATGACCACATTTTGAGCATTTTTGAATATTGGGGGGGGGGGGGATGTGTGTCCCCCCCCCAATATATATTTTAATTACGACCTTGGCTCTACTGATGAGGCACGTGTGTATACTTGAGCACATTGACCAGGCAATCTCAAATATTCCCTCTGTTGACATTAATGCCAAGGGCGTCTCAACATGTTTGAATGCTAAATGAAGGCACTGGATCGCGTGCAGTATGTTCACACGCACACAAAGAAAACTATTCCCCGATAGTCGTGTATCCTGTTGGGGCAAGTGCGGTCAGCGGGCACCTGTTCACCGCACGAAGAGGAGGCTGGTGTCGCTAGCAACACCCCCCGCCGGCCGTTTTTGTCTCCCCCTCTGCCGATGTTTTCACGTTGCAACTAGGTACAAATTTTTAGCCCGAGTCCACTTAGAGGAGTCTCAGGGCCGGTTCAGAAACTCGTCGGCGATGCTGGCCGTGGAGCGGTACACCGAGCTTCGGTCAACGTGTTTGGAGCGCAGTAGCGCGGATCACCGTGCTCAGACGTCACCATGTGCCCTTTCGAGTGACGCGGGCGAGCACAGGTAAATGTCATCAAATATTTGTTTACATCAGAATATTTATTCATACCGGAGGAATCCGATGAGCTGTGAAGATTTTTTGACACACGCTGGTTGAGTCGACCAGTTGAATATCAGGCTTACCGACCCCCACCCCACCTCCCCGCCCCCACTGCAACTCGGAAGGTCGACAAAGTCCAGATTTCGAAAACTGAATCGTCACGAGTGGTGAATGCGGTCAGGAGTCAAGCTCGAGTTTACTGGAAATGTCAAGCAGTGCTCTGCTCATCACATCCCCCATCGTTCACCGCGAGGGCAACGGCGACGCGCGTGAACCCTGCGAGGTGGCTGACAAGCTGCTCAAGGACTTGACAATGTGATTCAGTGCTCGCGAAGAATGTCTCATGAAGATCAAGCAATCACAGCAAAGAAAGTCCTCGCGCAACTTCCTTTGATCTAATTAATAACGCGTCGCTTGCAATCACGTTTCCTTGTGCGATTTAAAACAATTTGTGTTTAACTGGAATTGTTAATAATTTGGTGCAATACAAAAAAAAACACGTAGGCACTGGGAAACATTAGGCAGCTGGATTGGTGACGTGCATATTTCACATGTTTACCGTCAGTGTGCTCGGGTGCTGCTTGCTCTCCATGTTCATGAATCGTGGCAATAAAACGACTTAAATGTGTAGGCTTGTGACACGACAGCTCTTCATTTATTAAAAAAATATATTCTTATGGCCAAGATACATGCGTCGGATAACGCATCTGGCAATAGTTTCAAGACTATTCATGCATATTAGTTCCTAATGTTACATTGAATACAATGAAGCGAACAAAAGTGTGTGAGACCTAGACTTTTTTTTCTATAAAAAAAACTGTATGAGATGGCATAGAAGCTGTATGAAATGGCATAAATATATATTTTATATAAATGGCATAAAAATCTAATCTGGAGTTATATCACATTTCAAATCATGCCAATTCATCACTGGTGTGAAGTAGGCGGGGAGCAGGGGGTATCGGGTGGGTGTTAGTGATCTGTTTCAGTCGTTACATGCCAATTAAACGTGCGTTGGAAACTATTCTCTCTCATAAGAAAGGTTTTTGGGTTAGATCGCGTTATTTATAAATGTGTCGTAACCCTCCAACACCCGACGCGGCCAAACAGTAAAAAAGTGTCACGTTTACAAAAGACAAATAGTTCACTACTTTAGCCCACCGGTGTGTTGAAGAGTGAATCAACATAATTTAAAATTTTTGAGTACGACGTTTCGCTGGTAATTACATCCAGCATCATCGGGCAATTTGACAGAATGGTGAAGTCCTCCACTTGCTCTCGGTGTTAAATAGAGCAGCAGGGTGACGTCATCAATCTCTGCACCAGATTGGGTTAAATGATGACGTCACCCTGCTGCTCTATTTAAGACCGGGAGCAATTGGAGGGCTTCACTATTCTGGCAAATTGCCAGATTATGCTGGATGTAATTACTGCCGAAACGTTGTATTCAAAAATTTGAAAATGATGTTGATTCACTCTTCAACACACCCGTGGGCTAAAGTAGTGAACTATTTGTCTTTTGTAAACGTGACACATTCTTTACTGTTTGGCCGTGTCGGGTGGTCAAAGGGTTACGACACATTTATAAATAACTCGATCTAACCCAACAACCTTTATCATGAATAATATTGGTCGCGAAAGCCTACGTGTATTCTCTCTCAGTCGACGGGACTCTTGACCGCCGACGCTTGCCCCCCTCCCCGCTCCCACTCCCCCACCCCTGTGCAGCATGAAGTGGGCAATGCGAGCCCTGGACGTGCTGACGCTGCTCAAGATGCTGGCGCTGGCCATCGTCAGCGTGGGCGGCCTGGTGCTGCTGGCCAGCGGTCGCACGCACAACCCGCTGGGCTCGTTCGCCGGCGCGCCGCCAAGCCCCGCGCAGATCGGAGAGTCCTTTTACCAGGGACTGTGGGCGTACGGCGGATGGAACGCTCTCAACTATGCCACAGGTCCGCAGACATCATTGTTTTGGGGTAGTAAACACTTATGGGGGGGCGGGGGGTGTAAAGACACAGTCGATGTACAAAAACACAAATGTAAACACTATAGGTAATGATTATGGTGGTTAAACAATTAGAGGTAAAACGGGTATTGTTTTTCGAATTCAATTCCAAAGGAATTTCAGGTTTGAATGCACCAGTTGGCACATGCGTGCGGACGGACGTACAAACCGCAGGCACGGCGCGTGTGATTCTGATTGGTCAGTGGCAGTTATCTACAAGCAACAGCGGCAGGCCTAAGTCAACGCGTGCTAAATTTGTTCTTAGTTTCTCAGTTAAAGCGTGAAGGTAGGGTGGCCCTGAAATATATTGTTCAAGGCACTCCTGGTCGAGGGGCCTCCACAAGAGGGATCTCTGGAGGATAATTGGTCTACTCATCCTTGCTGACCACACGTGCTGCAAGAGGTGGGCACACTCACACTTAAGACGTAACGTGCCAATCGACTGCAGTGTACCGAATTATACTGCTGGGTGGAGAGAGATGAGAGGGCTAATTCTTAAAAATGGGTTACTGGTATTATAGAGCAATACACTAACTCCAATACGATTGCTCGAATAATACAGTGCATTACGGTCGTCATGAGCATCACGTGGAATAGCAGAAAAACACCCCCAAAGCATAATGTTTCCACCTCCATGTTTGACGGTGGGGATGGTGTTCTTGGGGTCATAAGCAGCATTCCTCCTCCTCCAAACACGGCGAGTTGAGTTGATGGCAAAGAGCTCCATTTTGGTCTCATCTGACCACAACACTTTCACCCAGTTGTCCTCTGAATCATTCAGATGTTCATTGGCAAACTTCAGACGGGCATGTATATGTGATTTTTTGAGCAGGGGGACCTTGCGGGCGCTGCAGGATTTCAGTCCTTCACGGCGTAGTGTGTTACCAATTGTTTTCTCGGTGACTATGGTCCCAGCTGCCTTGAGATCATTAACAAGATCCTCCCGTGTAGTTCTGGGCTGATTCCTCACCGTTCTCATGATCATTGCAACTCCACGAGGTGAGATCTTGCATGGAGCCCCAGGCCGAGGGAGATTGACAGTTCTTTTGTGTTTCGTCCATTTGCGAATAATCGCACCAACTGTTGTCACCTTCTCACCAAGCTGCTTGGCAATGGTCTTGTAGCCCATTCCAGCCTTGTGTAGGTCTACAATCTTGTCCCTGACATCCTTGGAGAGCTCTTTGGTCTTGGCCATGGTGGAGAGTTTGGAATCTTATTGATTGCTTCTGTGGACAGGGGTCTTTTATACAGGTAACAAGCTGAGATTAGGAGCACTGCCTTTAAGAGTGTGCTCCTAATCTCAGCTCGTTATCTGTATAAAAGACACCTGGGAGCCAGAAATTATAGACTGATGATTTCTTTGTCAGTGGGCAAACGTACAACATCAGCAGGGGATCAAATACTTTTTTCCCTCAATGTAGCTCAAAATCAAAGCCGGATCACTGGCTTAGTTGAACTAATTGCTGTGGCAATGTGCCTCCACACATATCGCGTATTGTGCCCACATGCACACAGACTACAGATTTCATGCAGCACACACATATATACACACAGCACAGTGCCTGCAAGATAAATGAGCCACCAACTCTGTATCAATCCCTTACACATACTAGCAAATATACAAAAAAAATGTGGTGACAAGCTTATCATCGTGATGATAATTATAAGCGCACACAGGCGACTATCTGTACAGTATATACTTGTATTGTATATAATAGCTGTATTTTTCCATTGTGATTGATGTGTAATGACAGGGTGACACCTGCTGGCCGGGAAAGGGAAGCACGGGTACGGGCACGGTTAGAGTAACAACCAATCAGAGAAGGAGGTGTATCTGGGGCAAAGGTAACAGGTGGGGCTAGCCGAGATACTCCGGGAACCTGCTGGAAGGTTCCACGAGAGGGCGTGGCCGGAGGCGGGGCCTAGCCACGCCTGGGGGGATATAAGGGGGAACGGACCCGGGGCTCGGGGCTAGTGTGTGGGGTCCTGGGTCCCGGCTGCGTCGCTGCTCGCCGTCATCTCTCTCCGTCGTCCGGCCACGTGGAAGATCTCCTGCGGGGTTTCCATCGCCGTCATCGTCACTTCGCCAGCCAGCGGCGTGGCCGAGTGAGGGCGGTGGGACCACGCCGAGTGATCGGCTGTGTGTAGCCAGTAGAGACGTTAATATCTAAGAGTTGTGCTCAGAGTGAGGAAGAATAAGTGTTGGCCTGTGTTGTGCTCAGAGTGAGACATAAAAGAAGTACCCTCTACACGACGTGTCGCAGAAGTCGCTCATTACACATGTATTAGGGCAGGGCTTTTAAAAATTGGCACTAGTATAATTAAACTGCGTCATACTGCTGTTAAAATAATCTCTGCCTCGAGTTTCTTGGCTGGCTACTGGCTGGGCGCCTCTCCATCCCAACAATAACTCTGTTGTCGTGAGTTGCATCGGGCTACTTCCACCAAAATTAGCTGGGTAAGTGGCTAAACTGGATTTCCTGTGTAACAAATGAACTTTGAATGGAATTGAAACGGCGGAATAAATTCAGAAGACGTATAATAGGTAGTAACATCACAGAATTGGTGAACTGTATACACAAGTCTTAACCGGTTCATTTAAAATTGCTCTAACTTTTCAATTTGTGCTCCTATTAATGTCATTCTTTTGCCAGAATTTTCTTTAAATCCTAGAGAATATAAAAAAACTCACAATACCTATTATATTGGCTTTTTATTACTTAAAAAAATGAGATTTCTCTGAGTAGAACGAGTACTGCATTGTGAGAAGAGTGTGAAATTAACAGCTTTATCTTATTTATCATTGCAGAGCAATTGGTTATCTGCTAGCGATAGATATGTATACACGTTGAAACTTGACATTTTGGACACCTCGCGCGTGTAAGTGTACCTGCATGTGACGCGGAAGTATCTCGCAGCTCGTATTAATTCACCATTCGACGTGATTCTAAGCCATGAGATACACAGCGAAGAAAGCCCTTTCGTCGGCCTTGGCCACTCGAAGCACTGCAAGCTTCGGGCTTCCCTATTTAAAATTCGACAGGTGGGAGTGGAGGACGGTAGATCAAATCGTTCCATCATCTGCTCGCCAATTATCGTGGTGAATGAGCCCGAGCGTGCGTCACCCCGAGCTCAGAAACGCGTGGCTCATCTTCCCCAGCAAGCAAGCGGACAAATGACGGGACACCCTCATTTTTCATTGTTGTGCTCCTATTTGTAATCTTGTAATCGTCGGTAATTTGAAGAAGAAAAAAATTGTCGGGTTTTGGGACTTTTTTGCTGGCGCACGACGACCTTGTTGAATGTCACGGAATCTTTAAAATGGAATGAAGAGGAGACCCTGTCGCTGCTCTAATATTGTACCAAGGCAATACTGGCAAAATGTGAGCCTGAACCATCCCCAAACCTTGCAATCTGCCACCGAGGTGGCTAATCGACAAACTCCCACTCCCCCCCCCCCCCCATGACCCATTCATGTGTTCAAACTACAATTTACTCCCGTTGAACATTAAACCGCAGGAGTCTATATGAGGCTGCGTGGCCAATCGCTTTCACGTATTTCTGTTTAACTCGGGTCTTCCAGAGCAATCTAGCTCGTCCCATAAGGAATCGATTACGAGTTTACCATTACAGGCTGTTTCATTGATCTAGACCCTTGTTGCCATGATTACTCGCGCGTTGCGCAAGCGGCCGCACGCTACCCTCGTCCGCACAGCTCGCTCGGCGCTTTGGCCTTAAGTGACAAGCGATTGAGGTCGACAGGGGACATGCCTGTGGGCCGTGAGCTACGCTAAAGCTGCCCGTACGTAAACAATGCACGAGGGCAAACCTTGCGAGGCAAAATAAGCACAGTTTCCCTCTTTACGTTTATATATATTTAAAAAAATGTATCTCCAGCATCAGAATTTTTGGGAAAACACGGCGACACACTTTGCTACTTCGTCGTAACGTTTGTTACGCATGAGGTGGAAAGTAAATAAAACCCATCGTGATGAGCGGGTGATGTCACATTTCCAGAGGAGCTCAAGGATGTGCACAAGAACATCACGCGCTGCATCGTGGTGGCAGTGCCCCTGGTAACTGCATTCTACGTGCTGGTGAACATCTCATACATGACCGTCTTGACTCCGAAGGAGATCATATCTTCAGGTCAGTGCAAGCCCGCTTCCTGTGTTGAATTAGAATTTCAGCAGCATGCCGTGCACCACCCCACTCCTTTCACCTACCACAATATGTTATTTTCTTCACTGTCGCCTCTGATTAATGTCAAGATTATATAATTTTGTGTGCGTGTGTTTTTGTGAGGTCAGTGCATTGTTAAACATATTTGTACATTTCCAGACCAGGTAAGCAATGTGGTTTCTAAATGCAGTATATATATTTGATCTTGCTTATATATTTACTAGGGCTTAGTGCACTGCACTTTGAACCCGGGGACCTGCGTATGATTTGTGGACATGGCCAACATCGCCAGTGTCAAGCGATATCTGAACCAGTCCGGGTAACCATCTTCACCAACCCACGATGACCAGTGTACGGTCAACAAAAAAAACAATGACCAATGACCTTGCGTGGGGAGGCTATCGTGGAAAAAGTTGATTGACAAACGGCTGTATTATTATTTATTCACTCATCCGTGCAAAGGTAGAATAATGTACATGGGGCACAGTCGCATACCTTATTGTACGTAAAACGCACTTTTTTTATCTAGATATCAATTCACATTCACTTCCAAAATATCTACTTTTGTTGAGGAATGTCCTAATGGAATACACAGATATTTGAAAACCTCACAGGATCCTTCAGCACAGCGCGTTGAAACATTGTTAATGTGACCTTCCACGGAGAGAGTAGAGTTTACGTGTGAATGTGCAGTCCTTTTGTCAATCCACTACGGCATGAGGGCCTCCCCACGCCCTGCAAGTCATGGGGGTTATTTGATCAGAATTCACCACGCCGGTCAGTGGGCTTGGTGCATGCGGTCACCCATCCAAGCGATCTCCAGCTTCAACCCCCTGTTTAGCCTCTGAGCTCTGATGGGATCTGGTATATTCTGGGTGATTTGGTAATGGGCTATACTTGTATATCTGGGACGTTCTTTAATTGTAAAACTAAAAGCATAATAACGTGTACGGCGAAAGAGTAGTGATACGCGCTGCCTCTTTGGTATATTTTTTTGTAATGAAAAAACGAAAAAGCACTTAATTGTTTGGTTGCTGACGACCATCATAAACGGAGCATAGCAATTCACGTTGAACAGAAACAGCTGAATAAGGCTCAGCGGGGAATTAGGTATCCCACCCAGGTCAGGAACACGACCTTCAGTCCTTCAGTCTTAAGACACCTGTACAGACAGGTGCAGCATTCAAGGCCACCGACACAGCCAGACAGATTGAGCAACGTGCGTTTTAACTGCCTTTACTGCCTTCGAATTATTACCCACACGTATGTCCTCGCCAGCCGCCGGCCCGAGGCTGCCCGGGGCCACTATCAGCGGTTGGCAGATGTTATGTTATGTCCTCATAATAAACGTTTTTTGGGTTAGATCGCGTTATTTATAAATGTGTCGTAGCCCTCCACCACCCGACACGGCCAAGCAGTAAAAAATGTGTCACGTTTACAAAAGACAAATAGTTCACTACTTCAGCCCACCGGTGTGTTGAAGAGTAAATTGGCTTCACCATTCTGGCAAATTGCCCGATGATGCTGGATGTAATTACGAGCGAAACGTCGTACTAAAAAAATGTAAATTATGTTAAATAACTCAACACACCGGTGGGCTAAAGTAGTGAACTATTTGTCTTTTGTAAACGTGACACACTTTTTGCTGTTTGGCCGTGTCGGGTGGTGGAAGGTTATGAGACATTTATAAATAACGCGATCTAACCCAAAAACGTTTATTATGAATAATATTGGTCGCGAAAGCCTACGTGTTAAACACACTTTTTGCTGTTTGGCCGTGTCGGGTGGTGGAAGGTTATGAGACATTTATAAATAACGCGATCTAACCCAAAAACGTTTATTATGAATAATATTGGTCGCGAAAGCCTACGTGTTAAACACACTTTTTGCTGTTTGGCCGTGTCGGGTGGTGGAAGGTTATGAGACATTTATAAATAACGCGATCTAACCCAAAAACGTTCATTATGAATAATATTGGTCGCGAAAGCCTACGTGTTAAACACACTTTTTGCTGTTTGGCCGTGTCGGGTGGTGAGGGTTACGACACATTTATAAATAACGCGATCTAACCCAAAAACGTTTATTATGAATAATATTGGTCGCGAAAGCCTACGTGTTATGTTACGTGCATCAAACGTCTTTCGCACCGTACGTAGCCAACCGTGATTTGCTTGGCTTTTCAGTCTGAAAACTCAAGCCAGTGTCACGTAAGCACGGCAACACAATTATAGTTAGTGACGCAGGCGAGGAATAACAATGCACGTGCGCTATGCTCGGTTTTTTTCCATTTTAGGTCTCTGCTGCTGCATTGTTGTTGGTTTTTTGCTCATTGGGACATTTTCAAGAGGAAGCCTATTATTGCGCAAAGATGTCACATGACAGCGAAAGGGTTGTGTTACGATGCTGTCTCGACAGCGTTATTATTACGTGGTAGGTTTACTCAGTAGCAATAATTTAAGGATGCTCTGCACTTATATAGATGGCATAGCTTGCCCTGTCACATCAGTTTGTTCCCATTACCTCTTTAAAATTAGCAAGAAAACACCGAAGGCGTATAGACAACGAGTTTGGTTTATTTAATTTCAAGACTTTCACTGGATATTACTCACTTTATAAACTTTATACACGTCCCAATAACCTGATGCTACGTAGCTCAGTCGTCATTGCAAGAACATTGTTTTTGTAGCACTTTACTTACGATTACATTCCCATGAACATGTTATATTTATGACATTGTTTCACTGTCAAATATTACGGTTAAAGTAATATAACGCTAAACATAAAATAATTATTTTTGTTTGTGCAACATTTTTTCATATTTTTTTACGTGCAATCTTATTTCTCCAAATTAACCAAGCTTGGCTTATGCTTTAAAAATATATATTGTACTCTTTGGTTTTTTTCGGTAAAGTCGCGTATAAATAAGAAATAATAAAATAACATAATAGCGTACGACGTTTCGGTTGCAACACAAGCAGCCATGATCAGGTACAGAAGAGCTAAATTTATGAGAGAGGGGAAACACATAACCTCAGATGTATATACAGACACCCAAGTAGGGGGAACTAACACAGATACAACAGGGGACACAGAGAGAGAAGCATACCAGACAAAGAGGGTTTAGCAAAATTTTGGAAACCATGTAAAGCAACACAGACCGTCGGCCAAAACACAATTAACGCATAGTCCGGTTGATCACGCTATTTCAAAGATTGCTAAATTGCAAGTTAAGTATGAAACTCAAAATACAGACCGCACACACACACAGACATCCAAGTAGAGCGAACCAGCCCAGAGACAAGCACACAGTGAAGTCGCCTTAAATAGGCAGAGAAGGTAAGGCTGAGAGACAATGGGACAAAATTAGCATGAGGTATGCATGGAGCAAAGGGGGCGCGGCAGCACGCAATGGGACAAAACAGCACGAGGTAAAGTGGGGGTCGGCAGCACCCACTCGGAAGCAACAAGGCCCACACACAGGCAGAGACAGCACAGAGACACAAATCCAAGCCAAGACACAAAGGCAGATACACAAGCAGACAACATGCATACCTCATGCTAATTTTGTCTCATTGTCTCTCAGCCTTACCTTCTCTGCCTATTTAAGGCGACTTTACTGTGTGCTTGTCTCTGTGCTGGTTCGCTCTACTTGGATGTCTGTGTGTGTGTGTGCGGTCTGAATTTTGAGTTTCATACTTAACTTGCAATTTAGCAATCTTTGAAATAGCGTGATCAACCGGACTATGCGTTAATTGTGTTTTGACCGACCGTCTGTGTTGCTTTACATGGTTTCCAAATTTTGCTAAACCCTGTTTGTCTGGTATGTTTCTCTCTCTGTGTCCCCTGTTGTATCTGTGTTAGTTCCCCCTACTTGGGTGTCTGTATATACATCTGAGGTTATGTGTTTCCCCTCTCTCATAAATTTAGCTCTTCTGTACCTGATGATGGCTGATTGTGTTGCAACCGAAACGTCGTACGCTATTATGTTATTTCATTATTTCTTATTTATACGTGACTTTACCGAAAAAACAAAAAGAGCAATTCCTGCAGTCACGAAAGCTTCAAATCAAGTCTATATATATTGTGTTTCCTAATCAAATTTCTGCTGCACAATTCAGTGAATTAATCATCATTAACATCAGCCATAGTCAATCCACGACTGGATGAAGGCCTCCCCAAGCCACCGCCATCTTTCACGACTCTGTGATGCAGCAATCATCCACCTAAGCGCCTGCTAACGATCCTCTCAGACGCGTTCCACTGCTCGGTTGCTTATTCTTTATTGTTGTTGAGCGTGAGTCATCATTCATTCGAGCAACGTGTCCTGGCCAAGCCCGGCTACTTCCCACAACAATTTGAATTATGCCATTGAGTTGCGAATTTTCTCTAATCCATGTGTTCCTCTTTCTCTTTCTCAACGTAATTACGAGCGTGCGTCTCCACATGCCTATTTGGGCAATTTTCAGTGTAACCTTAACAAGCGTGTTTCTGAACTACATGAAAGAGCAGGAAGGACACTGAAGTGGTTTAATATTGGGGTCCCTATGGTTAATTGCTGAAAATATTTAATGACTCCTAAGAATGCACCCACTTGTAATGGTATCATTGTTTTTACGTGTATTTTGATTGAAGGAGCAATGTCCCATTAAAAATTGTTTCATCGGACACCTCTCACATGCCAAACATAAACGCGTATTGCATTCTAAACTTTAAAAAAGCTAAACTAAAACATTTACATACAAAACAGTTTGAGCATGGTGTGCAGTTTAAGAAGCAGTTTTAGAACATACAAACTATGTTCATTTGTTTATTTTGAGTCCTAAATCTATACATGTTGGAACATCATTAGACCTCCTTTGCCAGTACCAAAGTGAAATAATAGGGTTTTTCCCCTTTTTTTTGGCAACAAAACTGAAACCTTTTTACAAGGATTCATGTCTGCATTAATCACAATACCTGCAGTCAAAATGCAAACAAACACCATACTATGATAATATATGCATTGTCCTTGAAACTGATTGGTTCACACCAAGGGACGGCTTTCTTTTGAGCCTCGACCCAATCGGTGCTCGACCAGATGACACCAAAAGGCATACAGCTGTTTGGTGTCATCTGGTCGAGCACCAATTGGGTCCGAGGCTCAAAAGAAAGCCGTCCCTTGGTGTGGACCAATCAGTTTCAAGGACAATGCATATATTATCATAGTATGTTTTTTGTTTGCATTTTGACTGCAGGTATTGTGGTTAATGCAGACATGAATCCTTGTTAAAAAAAAATTCAGTTTTGTTGCCAGAAAAAAGGGGAAAAACCCTATTATTACATGTTGGAACATTTTGATGACTGCTTCCATCTTGAAAAAAAAACTACCGATGCAATTCGATATCACATTATATGTGTTATGGCCAGAGTGACAATGGGAAAAGCTTCACTTCAGTAGCACATTGATCATATACACCGTGCTTGGCAGTTCCACAGTTGGATTGATATTTCTTAATGGACATGCACATCATACTAAGTAGGTATGTATGTTAAACTTCGTTCGTACCGTACATAGCCAACCATGCTAATCCGAAGTGTGTGGGAAGGACAACAAACTAAACACAAAAATCAGTTCTGAAGAAATTCGTTTTCAATCTAGATGATGATTTGAAACTGCATAGCTCCAGTGGCTTCCTCATATCGGAAGGAAGAGCGTTCCAGACGACAGTAGAAGCGCACCTGAAAGTGCGCATTGCAGTGACCGTCTTTTTTCGGTCAGTAGCCAAAAGTCGCTGTGAGCATAACACGAGTTTGCGTGATGGTTTATGCCCCTTGACAAGATCAGCAATGTATTGTGGTTCAAAAGCAAGGGATTGTGGTAGAGCACATTAGCACGCAACTCCCGTCCTTGCGGCCACACAACGGTTAATATACAGCACTCAAGATAGTCTAAATCCATTACTTACCTTCACACAAGATACCAATGCCTTGTATTAACAAGGCTACTGTGATAATTACTGTTGGAACTGCAATAAAATACGTGTTATGTTAATTGCCTGCTGTTGATGGCTGGACTTAAGTGGGCCACGCAGAATGGAAGATGCTAAGAAGATTCCCTTAAACTTATGAATGAATGCACTCGTGCTCACCTTCCACATGCCATAACGCCATATTAGCAGCTGTACAGAGTAAGTAAATAGCAATCAAGCAACAGGGTCTCTTCTGCGTAATGGGGCATTGCTTAGTCTCATGGGCCAAGTAAACATTATTTTTCTATCGCAGTTCTTTAAAATTGTTGAGTACAAACGTTATCATCCACTTTAGGGAATTCATAATATTGTGTTGGCAGATTTGTTAGCATGGATTTTTTTCCTTGCCAGTTAGCCCATCCGTAACATGGGGGGGGGGAGGTTGTCAGAGTTTGATTATCTACTGGTTAATTTGTTTAAAAACATTTCTAAGATGCTTGCTCAGTTGACATACAAATCAAGTTATCCGTTGAGCTTAGCCATAGTTTAATCAATAATATACTTTCCATAATTTCCATGGATCGTCTCTGAACGTCAACTGCAGTGGCAACCAAGATGAATGTGGCTAAAATAAATCTGTCGTCGCACGAATTTTAACGAGCGAAACTTTAGAGCCCTTTGTAGTGATAACACGAATTAAGGTAGCTCCCCATCCGTGCATTTAAATTACCATTAAAACCATCAAATTCTCATTACAATGGTCATTTTAATTCTAAAGTATTCCTGTGAAATTGCTGTTGTTTAAACATCTCATGGGATCCTTATAAATTATTGCATTTCAAAAGGGTGCAATAAAAGCATTTATTTTTTCATGTTGCAAGATGCAAGGAGGAATAGATCATTTACATGCCCAAATAAAATTCACAGAAATGCACAATGCTCGCATAAAAGAGGATATCAGCGCGGTGATTTAATTAGCAAGCCTTTGAGCTGGGCTTTTTGTTTATGGAATTCATTCCATTTCAATTTAGCAAATACCATAATATGTGATTTACTATGGTTCCACGTTGCTTTAAAACATTTCACATTTTAAATTACTCTCAGCAGGAAACTAAAATCGGGTCGAAGCTAAAAGGATTACTATATTTTGGCATTATGAGGTTTGTATCTCCGTACAATTGTTTCCATTTCAAATTTCCTTTATTCACTTGATTTTTACTGGAAATATTAATGCTCCACTACCCGTCACCAATGTATTTATTTAAACAAAAATGTGTTTTTCTTTAAAATTACTCCTTGTTCTCACACTTTCCATGAGCGACAAGCGAGTTTAAATTGTGGCAGATTCTCAGAGATTCCAGCAACATTACTCACAACTCTTGTTACCCAGATACATTTATACCAGTCAAATCACATAATACCCACAATGGATTATCGAACTCTAAGACCAATTAACCATAGTGTCAGCAAAGGGCCTTGCAAGGTCAAACAGCTGTATTACAGTCACGATTCTGACAATCCAGGTTTACCTTGCTTCATGTGGTTTCAGTTTGTGCGTTTTTACATACATGCGGTCAACCAATTTCTACCTAAAATTCGCTATATGCGGTTTGAATTCGCTCATATGCGGCTATGCGGTCGAATGTGGGATAACATTGTTCGTGTGGACTGTATGCGCCACTCGGCAGGCAGCTGTCTCGCGTGGTGCATTGTGGGTTGGGTGACCGTGGGGTCCGTACTATGCGATTTCACTTTTAAAAGCATTTACGGCGTAAAGCGAGAGAAGCCTGCGTAGCAGTAGCCACAGTACACGTGGGACTGTATACAAAGCGGCCTCAAACATTCACTATTTGGAGCTCATAATTTCTCTATACTCATGTCTCCCTTGAAAATGTGACAATGTCTCTGAGTAATAACTTCGCATGCGAGTTGTGAAATGGCATTAAGTTAAACTGATGTATGACGGAGTGCTCTGATGCGTTCCATGTTGTGCCGCGCATCATTCGGCACAAAGTCTGGCGTTTCTTCGCACACGCCGGGAGCTTCTTCAGGAACTGAATTAAGTTAATCTTCACGTGCCGGGAGCTTCTTCAGGAACTGAATTAAGTTAATCTTCACGTGCTGGGAGCTTCTTCAGGAACTGAATTAAGTTAATCTTCACGTGCTGGGAGCTTCTTCAGGAACTGAATTAAGTTAATTTTCACGTGCTGGGAGCTTCTTCAGGAACTGAATTAAGTTAATTTGCACGTGCTGGGAGCTTCTTCAGGAACTGAATTAAGTTAATCTTCACACGCTGGGAGCTTCTTCAGGAACTGAATTAAGTTAATCTTCACGTGCTGGGAGCTTCTTCAGGAACTGAAGAAGTTTCAGAATTAAGAAGTTCCCAGGACGTGCAGCGAAATATCAGACTAAATTAAGATAATATATGTTTTATTTTACCAGGTAAGGCCCACTGAGCTATATGACTCTTTTTTCAGAAGCGACCTGGCCACAAATGATAGCTCAACTTAGTGGTTTATGATATGGAAATTTGTAGCAGCTAAATCCTCTATTTGCATGTTCCCAAATGTGGAGAGAAAAAACTGAAGAACCTAGAGGCAAATCTACACGACCACGGGGAGAGAAACACGCAAACTCCGAATGTACAGCAGGTGTCAGGGTCGGGATCGAACCCACGACTACCTGCATACCAGGCGAGGGAGTTAACATCTCGCCACTGTGGTGGCGCCATTATACCAAACAGCGTGCAGTGCAATGCGAGTTCACATCGGAGCGCTAAACAGCACGAGCGTGAGACCCCCACGGTTTTTGCTGCTTCCCTCGCCACCCCCCCCCATCCACTGCAGCCGCCGTGGCGGTGACGTGGGGCGACCGCGTGCTCGGCTCCTTCTCGTGGATCGTGCCGCTCTCGGTGGCCGTGTCGACCTTCGGCTCGCTCAACTGCAGCGCCTTCGTCATGGGGCGCCTCAACTACGCGGCCGCGCGCGAGGGCCACGCGCTGCCCTTGCTCGCCATGCTGAGCGTGCGCCACCAGACACCAACGCCGGCCGTCGCCTTCTCCACGCTGCTGTCCGTCGCCTTCGTCCTGCCCACCGACCTCATCATGCTCACCAACTACTTCGGCTTCGTCACCTGGCTGCTCGTGGGGCTCAACTGCGCGGGGCTGCTGGTGCTGCGCTACCGCGAGCCCGACCTCCGCAGGCCGTACAGGGTGAGCGCCACTGCCATGCTGCCCTGCGCCTCCGAATTGCCACGGAGTTCGAACATTTTTTGCCGTGCCCGTTCAGTGCTCGCCGAGCCACACTGGCTTCCAGTTGCCGAAACAAATCGATGATAAGGTCGCGCTCGTTCAACGCAAAACCGTTCTGAGCTCGTCACGGAGCATAAACCATCGCGTGAACTCCGGTCATCCTCGCAGCAGCGGCTTTTGGCAGCTGGCCATCGAACAAAGACGGTGGTCACCGCATCGCGCGCTTTCAGGTGCGCTTCTGCGGCCGTCTGGAACGCTCTTCCTGCCGATATTAGGAAGCCACTAGGAGCTATGCACGTTTAAATCTAGATCGAAAACTCATTTGCTGCTTTCTGTGTTTACTTTGCTGTCCTACCCCGCACCTCCGATTAGCACGGTTGGCTGCGTACGGTGCGAAAGAAGTTCAACAAACGAATTCCGATCCGTTACACACTCAACGGCGATGTTTGTTGCTGACTGCTTGGCATTTTGGGCCATTGAGTCTGTGCTCAGCAAACACTTTGACCGCTGATCTCGACTGTTCTCCGTCAGAATGACGAGCGTGCCGACATCAGCACCTACTGCTCCATGTCCTTTTATGCCTTCCTCCGGCTACCGATTTGGCTGCGAGGCTTTTTTCGTAGAATGGAGGCAAAAACATATGAATTAATTTTGGCGGAATCGCTTTTTGTAAAATGCGCGCTAACTGTTAGAATTACACAATAGCCTAACACCACAATTGTACATCAATCAGTCCCCATCTGTTTATGCCTCGAGTCAACCTCCGCAAAATGGGAGGTTGATTATTTTCTTCAACTGCACCAGATGGCAGGAGATACCTCCTCCTATTCCACATTTCTAAGACACCTCGGTTCATAGCCAGGCTCAAAACTTTGCTCCTCTCCGACTGCCAAAGAAGGGCTATCTCTATGAATTGTATTCATCTGCATGTTCACGATTTGCCTCTGTCTTGTTAGTCCCCTGCCACCTACAAAAAAATTCCTTAAACCGTAATCTCTTTCCTCCCTTGCACGTTCTCCATGCTTGTACAGCGTCTTGATGAGAATTGGTCACAGATAGATGCCTCGCATATCCAAATTTGTATTCTAATTTATTATACAATGTATGCTAAACAGTCCAGTCATGTCAAGTTATCTCCACAGTCGAATTTATATTGGGGCACACCTATTGGGGGGGGGGGCGGAGGCGGGGGGGTATGAGTCAGTGATGAGAATTCCACATTCCTATGGGGGCAGCCAGCCTTTTCACAGAACAACCACAACCACGCTTTCCCCAACAATCGGTATTTATTTGTAAAACCAAAGCATGCTAATGAGTGGCTGAGTTGATGCCTGACTGGGATTTGAATGGCAGCTTTTTGGTTGTTCGCTGCCATCCCCCGTGAATTTTCATTCCACATCTTCGATTGCTGAGTGGCACCTTTTCCTCTGGGCCGATAATGCAAGCAATCACAGCATTTGAGTATCAAATGAAACCTTGATAATCCTCAAATGTACCTTCTTCGTCTATTGATATTGACAACATACCATATTTTTTTATCTAGGGGGTTATTTCCATCAGCCCAGAGAATAAAATCGTGCTGGTCTGACAGACATCACTGCTCTCATTGTCTCAGCGATGGGCAATGTTTTTTTTACAATACTTTCATCACAATAGATGCACTTATTCTGGCAACAATGTGAATGGATCCGATGCAGGAATTATTAACTTGCTTCATTCAGCCTGCATAGAAGGCAACATGCTGCATTCAATCACGTGTGGACAACGCAAGCCAAGCGCCACTACTTCCTTCACGAATGGAACATGTTCAATGCGTAACTGGCCTCTACGCTTACCCGGGAGGCACTAACACTATAACACAACGCTATACATCAAGAATGGATTACCCGATTCAACAGAGAGTTTGAATGTTAGAAAGAGAGCGAGGGACTGAGACACCAACTTCAGTGAGGCACCTTTACAAATTGAAGCAGAGATAAGGTGGTATTTAACAAACACCCAGTGCCTGGAGGAAGGCAGTACAGCAAATATATGCATACGTTATCTCTGGGCAGGCTGGTTTCTTCCCAATCGAAAAATGGTCAATAATGACCATCCGTGAAAAAAAGTTAAAATCACCAGCGTGAACCGAGTTAATTGATTATTAAATGTCATTTCAACGTATCACAAATTATTACACTCAGCTCATTTTCACAATCAGTACACAGATACTGAGTCCACCGAATTTTGGAAGAATCCGAGCCAAGTGACATAAGCCATTGGGTGCAAACGAAAAACCATTTAATCGCTCATCTCCCGAACACCACCACCCACCCGCTCTCATTCACCTCGTATTCACCCTCCTCCTTTCCCACAGGTGCTGTGGCCTGTACCCGTGGTGGTGGTGCTCGTGTGTGGGTACCTGGTGCTCGCCCCCATCGTGTCGTCTCCGCGCTACGAGTACCTGTTCGCGCTGCTCTTCGTGCTCGCCGGATTTGTCTTCTACGTGCCCTTCGTGCACTTCAAGCTGCGCGCGCCGTGCCTCCCCGCGCTCACCTGCTGGCTGCAGCTGCTCCTCGAGGTGTCGCCGACTGTCGCGCCGGCCACGTGCGTGGACGCCGTGCGATAGCGACGAGACGCGCGCCGTGCAAGCTCCGCGGTCCGCAGCGACGGCTGGCCGCGCCTTCACCTGTCTACGCCTAAGGTGGAGGGCCGAGCGGGTGCTGCCGCCATTAGCGCGCGGTTAGAGTCACGTCGTCAGTGACGCGACGTGTCCGCCGCTCACTGTAGAGGTCTGCGGTTCGAAGGCCCAGTTGCCGCCCTGGTTAATGCTGCGGGTGTATTGACCACAGATGTGCGAAAAATGTGCTTGGTTTTTGCTTCACCGTGTACGTTCAAGGTCCCATTACAATACTTTAAAAAGTAGGCCGAATTTTAACAATGCTGTGAATACCAAATATACTCAAGTATTCCCATTGTTATAATGCATCATAATATCCAAATTAGCATTGTTTGTACAGCACTCATTCGCACTGCTGATTCTAAGACGATGGTAGACATTCAAATTTATTTCTGACAGGTGGGGACTGTGGCCCAGTCTACTTATAGGAACAACCACAAATGAGTTCCTTCGAAATCAAACTAAACTGAATTATTTTTATTTTATCACGTAAGGCCCACTGACCTACAGTATATAGCTCCTTTTTCAAAGCAACCTGGACACAAATTATAGCTCAATGAAGTGGGTAATCATGTGGAAATGTACAGCAGCCAAATACACTAAACACATGATTCTAAATGTGGAGGGAAAAACCGGAGGTCCCGGAGAAAAATCCACGCGACCACGTGGAGAACATGAAAACTTCAAATATACAGGAGTCAGGGTCGGCATTGAACCCACGAGGCGAGGTAGTTAACATTAAAATGTATTTTACTATTATAATGATACTTATTTCATCCACCACGGGGAAGAAATCGGCTGAGTGGACCACTGACTGGGATCAAAATCTCTGATTGGAAGCTAATCGTACTGTCAGATCTCCACCTTGACTTCTCCCAAATGTCAAAGTGTGATATTACTGAAGTGAATACGTTTAACGTTGATGCACTTGCGTAAATTTACATTAATACAATTGAAATAAACATATCAGTAAACGTGTTATTTGACTGAGAAATAACTGAATCAAAGCAAATTCACGTTTTCACATGTGGATTATAGTCACTGACATATTTAAAGAATCATGGAGAAATGCATGCTGGGAATTACAGAGGCGGAAAGAGGGACACAAGAATCAGGCACCCAATGACATGGCGTTTGTTAAGTGAAGCACGCTGTCCTTGGGCAGCAGATTTCACGGTTTTAGAAATGATAGCGGGTGGAGGCGGTGCCATGAGATCAGTGCATGTGCAGGAATGAGACGAATTGTCACGTCGCAGTACTCTGAACATGATAAATGGCATAGGGAAGCCGTCACCCATTCGTGGACTATGGCTGATGGTGATTATAGCAATGACATGTTTGGCCTAAATTTGGTTGTTATTTTTTTTTAAAGGAAAGACCACGTTATGTTCTTGGTTCTTTCGGTAAAGTCACGTGGAAGGGAAATAATAAAATAATACAAATAAAACAATAAAATTATCACGACGTTTCGATTGCAACACAAGCAATTATCATCAGGCGTGAAAACCACAGCAAGAAAATTTGAAAAAAAGTGATGATTGCTTGTGTTGCAATCGAAACGTCGTGGGAATTTTATTGTTTTATTTGTATTTTATTATTTCCCTTCTACGTGACTTTACCGAAAGAACCAAGAATATGAATCCCTGCAGTCACGAAAGCTTTAAATCGAAAAAAAGACCATGTTATTCGCATGCTTTGTCCTGCTGCCTTAAGGGAAGAAATACAATAATTATAATGAAATAAGAAAACTTTTAATTATATACCCTTACAAATGTAACTTTGGATTTTGAAAGAATTTTTAAGCAAGCGTACAACCGGAATTTTGAATAACCTCGTGATTTCTCTCGGGTGTAAAATGCCCCGTAAATTTGAACCTATGTTTTTTTTTTACACGCAGCAAGGCTTTTGCACGTTGCTGTTTGATCTCGAGATAGCCATCTGAAGGAACTGAGAACAAGGGGCATTTAAAAAGGCCACGAATGCAGTATTTACCTTCAACAAGGTTGAGTTCACACTTTGAGTCAGATGTGTTTAAAAATTAAGACTCTATGGGAAGAAAGAACATGAACATTAAGCGCTCTTAAATCAATGAGCAAAACCGGTGCAGATTTGCCAAACTTTTTGCAACGTTTAATTATACTAGCTAGATGTTATTCCGCACAGTGACGTACTATATATTTTCAGCTGTAAATGTTATGAGCAGCTCACGTTAAGCACATTGCACACCTAGCTGCGCACTTGCAGTTTTACTTGCGAATTGGGTTGCAATGGAATCATTTTTCACGATGTGATAAAATATCAAATTTCACAATATGATGATTTTAGCGATATCGGTTTCTGAAACTTTACAATTCTAAATTCACATTTTGATTGCGTTGTTACCTGCTTTGTTGTATTCAGAATAATGTTTCAACTACTTATTATATGTTAGCCTGCCATTACTCTTACAATAATTGCAACCTTACAATATATAACGCTTAGAACGTAGATGCTGTCAGCCACACAATAAATTGTTATATGATGATGAAAATGCTGATGTCATATAAACTGCCTTGCTGTGAATTACTCTAAAAACGTTGCTCAAGGCACTACGTGAAAAGGTATTTATTTACAGCTTTAATTTGTGTTTTGGTTATTTTATACTGCTTGAAGAAATGTGTTTTTTTAATGATTTCATGAGCAATCATAATCAGGAATATAACAATATCTTGCAAAATGTACCATACGACGTTCACAGGAGACCTATCATATCACGTATCATTGTATAATTGTATCATTGTATCATTCCTATATCTCAGCAAACCCTCGACTCGCTCCTCTCGAATTTCATGCTGCCAAGTCGTGGTCAAAACTGAGCCTGAGATAAAAAAAAAAAACAGAGCCTGTAACTAACCCCAATTAATGGCCCCTCCGTCACCCACAGTGCCTCTCAAAATATCCGTCTAAGCACCCAGAAAAAACAATTGGAGCCGTAGGATTTTGAAAATTATAACATGCATGACATAATAGCCCCTCACCTATCACACGCTGCCACTGCTAATGCTGATTGTGCCATTGATGCTGGAAATGTGTAACTGTGTGCAGCCTGATTTGACGTGGCCTTATTAAATAAGTTATACTGAGCTATCTCGTTCTGTAGGTCTGGAATTGTAAGTTTTCCTCGTCATGAGATGTTTTATCCTCCCGTGATGCACATTGCAATATGTGAATACTGTTTTACACATATCATGATTTCTGTTCAACGTGTCATTGCTCCAGTGCCAAGGAGTTGAATTGGTGTAATAAAATAATGAAATGAAAAAAAAAATTCGAACTCACGTGTGCCGATTTCCCTTGTGGTTAGCTGTATGAAATTCAGAGTGTGCCAGTGCATCGATGAGCTAAGTAGTCACCCATTGTTTGCTCGTCTGCTCTCTGGTTAATTAACTGCTCGATACGACTGCGTGGGGTTCGTGGTTGTGATCAAAAGTGCCCGGATGTGTTTTCAGACTGCACGGCACATTGTTCGACACGATGTCTGACGTTTTGCTCCATGTCCTGGGTGCTTCTTCAAGAACTAATTTTTTTGCCGAAAAACAATGCAGGACAAATCAATTATTAAAGGAATTCTTGCTCAAGTCTCATCAATTAATAATGCAAAGGAAGAAATATAAAATCAGCAGCTATTGCTTAATTGCATTACACTGAGGCATGAGTCAGAATATATGTTTTGTTTTGTTCAAGATTGAAGGCCACTGTGCCTAAAAATGTATCATCATCATCATCATGAGTAATCACCTATTGACTGCTGGATGAAGGCCTCTCAGGAGGCATCGAGCTATTTTGACCATAATTCACCATGCTGGTCAGTGCATATCGGTAAAGGGCGGGGGAGGGATTGACGAGTGGGTGGTGAGGGGTGGTGGGTGGATCATGACCAGTTTAGATACTGTTAATGCCACTGGTGTTAAGCCGTGGCTGGGATTGGAACTCAGGTCATCGTGGTTGCCAGTGAAGTGTGCTGCCAACCTGGTCGCATGACTTTACCTCCGTCTATGCCTTTTAAAAATATAATTTATAAGAGCGCTATGAGGCAGGCCCCATATTCTAATCATGAAAAAAAATATATAATTCTGAACGCCTTTTGGCATTTAATATAGCATGCAAACAATCAAAGTGTTTTCATTTTCGTTGATTTGTACATCCACGCAGAATTCAGAGCAATTAATAATAATTTACACTTACAAAGCGCGTTTAACCCAGAGGTAGGAAGGCGCTGCACATAGCTAAAAACAAATAACTCACGCAATTGTGAAAACTGAGTACGCGGGCTTATGATTTAACCACAGATACAAATACCCCTCCACCACCACCATGCCAAGCTGTAATGGAGAAATTTATCTGGGAATTACATGCTATGCAAACTTAACTTGCTAAACCAACCTGAATTGTATTTATTTCACAAGCAAATTCGCAACCACATCTCATACGATCCGGAACGCAAGAATGTGCTAACTAGACGTAATAAAAATTTAGCAAAGCTTGGCGTTGATAATATTCAACAATTGGATAAGTGGGTGATTTATTGTTCCGATTTAAACTTAAACAAACACCACACGTATTCGCTGTCAAAAGGGTTACGTTTAATGTAATGCCCGAGATGGTACCTGTTGACAGGATTGCAGCTGTTGTACGTTCAGCCACTGCCGCATTAGAGGGTCATGCCAAACAATTAATAAGAATGTACAGCACTTCCTAAATTGAAGAACACTCAATACATCACCACCTTATAAGAGGATAAAGGCAACACTACCGTTGTAATGAATACAAAAGATGATATAGATATAACTTGTAACAGTTGTTGAATGATAATGAGATGCATACTCAGAACTCATAATGGGAACTGTACGAATCCACGAGGACTTAAAGATGCAGTAAAACTGAGGATCACTTTTATCACAAATCACGTACATACACACATACAAACCAACGAATTAGCTGCAATATCTTCTTTGGTTCTTTCGGGAAAGTCACGTAGAATGAGAATAACATAATAAAATAAAACAATAACATTCTCACGACGTTTTGGCCACAACACAAGTAGCCGTCCTCAGGTGAAGAAACAGTCCTGTCCAGAAGACAGCGCTGTCGTGATAATTTTATTGTGTTATTTTATTATTTTATTCTCATTCTACGTGACTTTACCGAAATAACCAAAGAAGATGAATCCTTGCAGTCACGAAAGCTTTAAATCGAAATTTAGCTGCAATATCTTAAGTAATCCAAAATACCCTATTCCACTGACGTATAAAAGTTGGGTGGTATTCTAAATTCCTTGCAGCAATTATGATGTTTTTTTAGGTTGGTGAGATTGGTCCTCAGCTATGTGCCCACATGAAAGAATACGTTTCCTGTATTCGTAAGAGCAAATTGGGAAAAGAAAAGAACATGTTGGCTTCTATTGAAACGAAATATGTAAAAACATGTTTGTTTCACTGCAAGTATGGTACAACCCCTAAAACAAAGCCAGGAGAGTAGAGATTTTTTTCATAAAACGAGCATGTTTTTACGAAAGGAGTCATTGACCTACCTGTTGGTTTGAAACCA